CTTTACACTCCTTTCTTTGAAACGGTGGGAGGAGAGGAGACTGCTCTTGGTCTTCTTTCTTTGCTTTGTTTTGCTTCGCTTTGCCTCGAGTCATGGGATCTTCGAGGGGAAAAAACTGAGCGAACGGCAGACGACGTGAGCTAGGCAGCCAAAGTGTAGACACACAGATGAGTGGGACGAGACAGACGCGAGGTTGCATAGCTCACCTGACAGTGAGCAGGATCTCGGAGAACATGGCGAGGCATGGCGGGGCGGAGCACACGTAGCCGCGCAGCTTCACCTTCCCCTCCGCCTCCAGTGGTATCAGCGCCGCCGCCCACTCCCGCGGGAGCGACCCCACCTGGCAGCCGCGCGAAGGAGGGAGCGAGGGACAAGAGGAAAGGGGGGGAGGGGGGGGGGGGGGGTAGGAGAGAGGAGAGGGATAGGCGGTGAGAAAAGAGAGGGAGGAGTGGGCGAGTGAAAAAAACTTTGAGGCGATTCAAAAGTCTTATCATACACGCGGTGTTCACTTCACTCTTAAGTGAAGGCGCGTACCGCGCTTCCTAGCTTTGTCCCAAAGCGGACGATGGAGCCCCAGGAGACGACACCCGAAAAGACTTTTAAGGCGCCTCAAGAGTCTTTTCACTACAAGCGGTGTTCACTCTTAAGTGAAGGCGCGTACCTCGCCTCCTAGCTTTGTCCCAAAGCGGACGATGGAGCTCCCAGCGGAAGACCCCCGGGACAACGTCTTGCTCCACTTCCCCTTGCCCGCCCACTTGGGCGGCCTTCCGCGCCCCCTCTTGCCTTCCCTTCCGCCAACGCTCCCCTCCCCATCGCCACCACCCCTCGCCTCGCCTTTCGGGAAATGAAACTCCACAGGGTCGTACAGTTCCAGCTTGGCGCCACGTGTCAGCGACACGCAGGACACGTGGCGCTCACCCAGGAGCCACCAGTGCGAAGCTTCCGCCTTCTCCTCTCTCCATTGCTTCATCAGCTTCGGATGCGGTGGGCCGTCGATGGGGGCGGGTTGCTGACGTGGGACTTCAGATACGGGAGGAATTGCAGTAGCTACAGTAGCAACTGTAGACATGGGAGGAACTGTAGGCATGGGAACATCTGCAGATACGGGAGCATCTGTAGATACGGGAGCATCTGTAGATACGGGAGCATCTGTAGATACAGGAGCGTCTGTAGATACGGGAGCATCTGTAGATACGGGAGCATCTGTAGATACGAAAACATCTGTAGATACGGGAGCATATGTAGATACGGGAGCATCTGTAGATATGGGAGGAACTGCAGAAACGGGTTGACCCGTAGGTACAGGTAATACTGTAGATGTGGGCGGCACAGCCGAAGGCGGAATTGAATCAGGCGGATCCAGCGAGTCTGGCGGGGCGGAGACAGCAGGCGGTTGGGCGGGGTCAGCACGTGGCTCCTCGCGTGGCTCCTCGCGTGGCTCCTCGCGCGGGGAAACTGCAGCGCAAGGCGAGCACAGTGCGCATTCTCCGCCGATATCGCCGTCCCGCTCACAGCCACGATCTGCGCCGAGACATACGGGCTCCGCCATGCTGTCCGGGGAAATGCTCGACGTGGGGGGAACTGCGCCATCGTTTGGCGCAACGTCGGGGGAAACTGCGGCGCAAGGTGAGCCCACTGCGTCGGGGGAAACTGCGCCGCAAGGTGCGCCCACTGCGTCAGGGGAAACTGCGCCGCAAGGTGCGCTCACTGCGTCGGGGGAAACTGCGCCGCAAGGTGCACCCACTGCGCCAACTGCGCCGCTAATCGCATCGTCCCCCGCAAGCTGACACTCCACCTCGGGTCGCGCGGGCTCGCGGATGCTGTCGGGGGAAAGGCTCAACGCTTCGGGCGGTGAAGCGCCGGCATTTGGTGACGATGGCGCTTCGCAAGGGGAATGAGCTGCGGGGTCTCCGCCAGTAATCGCGCTCGTCCGACAAGTCGCCTCTGCCTCGGAAGGCGCGGAGTCTCCGACGCGCTCCGCAGGATCAACGGCTAGGCTGGCTTCCTGCGCGGCGGCTTCCCCCATTGACGCTCCGGGGTCCTCCGGCGCAATATTCACTTCCACCGGTGTTTCCGCAACGGAAGTGGCGGTGATATGAGGAGGACGCGGGGAGGCGGGCGGAGAGGTGGCGGAAGCGGGGTCTAGACAGGGTGGCGGAAGCGCTAAAAGCTCTCCGCGCGCTTTCGGAGGAGGGGAGGCGAGAGGAAGCGGGTGACGCGATGAAGCCAATTGCTCGAGAGTAAACCTTTCAACATGAACTAGGTCTAAGTGGTAATTAATCGCCTTGGCGACGTCGCCTCGCGCAAGATAAAGCGCTCTGACGAGGGACATCTCAGTCGGATCGGTGCCTAGAACCAATCGCATGGCCTTGAAAGCCTCGGGAGTCCCGAAGCTCGCCATTGCAAGGATATCCGAAATAGGGAGTCTCTAAATGGTCGATAGTTAATTGACAAACTGGAATGGCTTGCCTAAGTGGAATGGGAGTCTCTAAATGTCATCAGCTGAATGACCAACTGGGATGGCTTGCACAAGCTGCAAAGGGACGTCTATGCCTTATACGAAGTGTCAGGAGTTTCGGCACGCGAGTCTGAGGCGCGCGAGCATGCCTCTGAATTCCATGAACTGCCATGGTGATCATGTTTGGAAGTCCAAAATGCTAGTTTGAAATTTGAAAAGCTGCTTCGCTTGAAAAGGCTTCAAAAATGGAGGCAATGACAGAAATTAGGGTTGAGATGAGGTGGTGTAGGGTGGAATGCGGTGAGAGTTGGTGAAGGTTCGAGCATCCAGTGGCGTCAGGTTGAAGCGATAAGTGGCTTGCAGGGTGGCGGGAAACTCACCACAGCGCGCAGCAGGGAACGTCAGTGGTGCGAGGGATGATGGTCGTGCATGTATCGAGGGGAGCGAATGCAAATGAAAGCTGCAAGCGGCCAGTAATCATCATATGAGTTCGTTGCATGTACTCACTGTATTTCAGGTTTAGATTGCAGATTAGTGACAAACCAAACTAGTCACGTTTTTATTAACGACCTACCAAAGCTTTAAAGTACAAGAGTTATACCCAAGGGCCTTACTATTGGCATTTAACCAAGGCCAAGGCTGAGCTCCAGATCATATGAGCGCATCACAGGAGGCGGCTTCATGGGTGCCTCGACATCCCAGCTCGTCGCCATGCGCCGCACACCAGCCGCCCACTTGCTGTTGTCCTTCCCTCCGGCAGCTTTGAACTCCACCGTTCGTTGAGGTCCGAGCGCTCCGCCGCGTGTCGCACTTCCGCACTGAGGGCTGATGCTGTTGTGCGCGCCGCCACTGAAGTTGCCACTCCGGGAAGGCGCAGGCATGGAACGGTCGGGAGGAGCAGCGGCGAGCGGGAGAGAAGGAGATGCGGACGACTGGACGACGTTAGAAGCGCCTTGCAGCAGACCGAGCAGCAACTGGTGCTGTTGGTGCTGCTGCTGCTGATGCTGCTGATGCTGATGCTGATGCTGATGCTGGTGCTGATGCTGATGCTGATGCTGATGCTGCTGCTGCTGCTGCTGCTGATGTTGCTGCTGTTGCTGCTGATGTTGAGAGAAAAGCAGCTGTTGCTGAAGTTGTTGCTGCTGCTGCTGATATTGTGGCTGCTGCAGCTGCTGCGGATGCAGCGGAACCACGGAAATGGCTGCAGGGACAGGAGGCGTCGGTCTTGGGACTGCCGAGGGCGGTGCGGCAGCGCTACGAGACGACTGCAGCAGAGAGTAAAGATCCGACGGCACGGCGGAAGACGCGGGAGCAGACGGTCGATTACCGGCCAGCGATTGATCCCCGTTATTAGCACCTCCTTTAGCGAGCAGCATCAGCACCTGCTGCACGTCCGATGACGTGGCGAACGACGGAGGCAGGCCGAGCGACGACGCGACGGCCGCGAGCGACGCGGCGGAGGAGTTCAGCGCTGCGCCCAGCTGCGCCGCCGCCGCGGGGAAAGCGGCGAGCGCGGACATGAGCTTCAGCAGCTCCGCTGCTGGCGGCGCCGCTGCTCCGCCAGCCTGCGCTGCTCCGCCAGTCTGGGTAGTTGCGCAACCACCCGCGCTTCCTCCTCCGGGCGCAGGTCTAACTTCCGCCATGGGGGCGGCGGCGCTTAGACAAGCGGCGCCGGCGGCGGGGAGTCCAGTGTCCCGCGCGTGCATCGAGACACCAACGCCGTTGACGGGGCCGCGGCCATGGTCGGCACCTCCCGCAAGAGAAGCTGGATGGTCGTACTCGGTATTATCGAGGGGGTTGACATTGGACGACGCGTAGGGTTGCGCGCCACTGTCCGCGGGGTAAGCTGAGTCGATTCCTGCAGACGGCTCGGGCTGCTGCGGTCGAGGCTGACCCTGAAACGCGGAGACGAACGAGCACGGAAACCGAGATATATGAGAAGTCGTCGCCGAAAAACAGCAGAACAATACATCGAGATATGAGACGGAGAAAGACGAAACAGATATCATCTAGTACAACAATACAGACAGAAGTAAGATGGCGTCGTGGTGCGGATGATGGTGTACCTTTCTGTAAGTCGTCCCGTCCTCCTCAACAATCCAGCCGGCCTCTTTGCACACTGCCTTAAAGCTCGCGTCTCATATTTACAAACGTTTAACACTTGGTTGGGAAACTACGAACATGATTGGTTCACGAGTGACGAATTTTTTCACGAGCGGAGGAAATATATGGGCGAAGTTGTGAAGAACTGAGGCCAAAACCACACCTCAGGGGCAGGTTTGGATCACGTCCGCACCTTGTAGGACAGGTTTGGCGTGAGTGTACTGTACTTTGTGCGACCAACCCTGACGACGGAAACACCGATTGTGCAAGGGAGAGAAGTGGCAGGGAAAAACGAAGTGCCATCACGCGCACTCCGGCTATACATCCTTACACGTAGTCATAACAATACCACTGCATTAGTAAGCAATCTTCTGTCCAAAGGCGTGAAGAAAGTGAAACATGTAACTGTGGGGAGCAGCAGTAGCGCACCCTCTTGCGTATGCCCGTGATTAGGTTATAGCCGTCACATTCCCGCCACCCTATCGCCGCTTCCCGCCACCCGTCTCCCCTGTTCGCCGCCCAATCTCCCGTGCTCGCCGCCCGATCTCCCCTTCCCGCGGCCCGATCTCCCCTTCCTGCCGCCCGATATCCCCTTCCCGCATCCTCTCGCCTTTCCGCGTAGCCTCCTCTCGCCTCTCCGCGCGGCCTCCTCTCGCCTCTCCGCGCGGCCTCCTCTCGTCTCTCCGCGCGGCCTCCTCTCGCCTCTCCGCGCGGCCTCCTCTCACCTCTCCGCGCGGCCTCCTCTCGCCTCCCCGCGCCGTCTCCTCTCGCCTCCCCGCGCGGCCTCCTCTCGCCTCTCCGCGCGGCCTCCTCTCGCCTCCTCTCGCCACTCCGCGCGGCCTCCTCTCGCCTCTCCGCGCGGCCTCCTCTCGCCTCTCCGCGCGGCCTCCTCTCGCCTCCCCGCGCGGCCTCCTCTCGCCTCTCCGCGCGGCCTCCTCTCCCCTCCCTTTGCCCTCGCTACCCCCTCCCATCGCCATCGCTTCCCCCTCCCGTCGCCCTCGCTTCCCCCTCCCATCGCCCTCGCTTCCCCCTCCCATCGCCCTCGCTTCCCCCTCCCATCGCCCTCGCTTCCCCCTCCCATCGCCCTCGCTTCCCCCTCCCATCGCCCTCGCTTCCCCCTCCCGTCGCCCTCGCTTCCCCCTCCCTTTGCCCTCGCTTCCCCCTCCCATCGCCATCGCTTCCCCCTCCCATCGCCCTTGCTTCCCCCTCCCGTCGCCCTTGCTTCCCCCTCCCGTCGCCCTCGCTTCCCCCGCCCATCGCTAGTCCACTTGCGCCATCTGTCAGCGTGGGGCAGCAGCACCACCAACGCCTCCTCCTCTCACCTCCTTGCCTTCCTCTTCCCCCTCTCCCCCCCAAACCCCCACCCACTCTTCCCCTGCAGTTGCTGGTTCACTTGCGCCATCTGTCAGTGTGGGGCAGCAGCATCACCAACGCCTCTGCGCCGCTGCTCCCTTTTCCCCCACTCCCACCATCCTCTTTCCACCCCCGCCTCTCCCCCTTCGCCTGCAGTCGCTCGTTCACTTGCGCCATCTGTCAGTGTGGGGCAGCAGCATCACCAACGCCTCTGCGCCGCTGCTCCCCTTCCCCCACTCCCACCATCCTCTTTCCACCCCCGCCTCTCCCCCTTCCCCTGCAGTCGCTCGTTCACTTGCGCCATCTGTCAGTGTGGGGCAGCAGCATCACCAACGCCTCTGCGCCGCTGCTCCCTTTTCCCCCACTCCCACCATCCTCTTTCCACCCCCGCCTCTCCCCCTTCGCCTGCAGTCGCTCGTTCACTTGCGCCATCTGTCAGTGTGGGGCAGCAGCATCACCAACGCCTCTGCGCCGCTGCTCCCTTTCCCCCACTCCCACCATCCTCTTTCCACCCCCGCCTCTCCCCCTTCCCCTGCAGTCGCTCGTTCACTTGCACCATCTGTCAGTGTGGGGCAGCAGCATCACCAACGCCTCTGCGCCGCTGCTCCCTTTTCCCCCACTCCCACCATCCTCTTTCCACCCCCGCCTCTCCCCCTTCGCCTGCAGTCGCTCGTTCACTTGCGCCATCTGTCAGTGTGGGGCAGCAGCATCACCAACGCCTCTGCGCCGCTGCTCCCTTTCCCCCACTCCCACCATCCTCTTTCCACCCCCGCCTCTCCCCCTTCCCCTGCAGTCGCTCGTTCACTTGCGCCATCTGTCAGTGTGGGGCAGCAGCATCACCAGCGCCTCTGCCTCGCTGCTCCTCGCCTTCCCCCGCCTGCTCTCCGCCAACCTCGCCTGGACTGCCCTCTCCCACCTCCCCGCCCACCCCTCCCTCACCGCCCTCCACCTCTCCCACTGCCCCCTGCTTTCCATTGGCTTCCCTCTCCCCTCCTCCTCATCCTCTCCCTCCGCCTCCTCTCCTTCCTCCTCTCACTCCTCCTCCTCTTCCTCCTTCCCCCTCACTCATCTGGTTCTCTCTGGTGCCTCAATCGCTCCTCCCTCCTCCCTCTTCCCTCCTCACCTCCTCGCCTTCCTCACTCACCTCACCTCGACCCCTCTACTGCTGCTGTCCCTGACGCCCTTCTGTTACACCTCGCCCACTCCCTTCCCCACACGGTACGTTAGCTCCTCACCACTCTCCCTCACACACCTTGATCTCTCTGGCTGACTCTGTTTCCCCTGCTCATTCTCTTCCCCTCGGCTCACTCTGTTTGGCCTGCTCATTCTCTTTCCCCCGGCTCACTCTGTTTGGCCTGCTCATTCTCTTCCCCCCGGCTCACTCTGTTTCCCCTGCTCATTCTCTTCCCCCCGGCTCACTCTGTTTCCCCTGCTCCTTCACTTCCCCCCGGCTCGCTTTGTTTCTTCCTGTTCACTCTAATTTCCGCTACTCAGTCTGTTCCCCCTTTCACTCACCCCCATTTCCAGCCGCGCAGGGTACAGGTCCCAGCACCATGGCCCAGGGTTTATTGCATGCAGTGTAGCAGCCAAGAGTGGCCCAAAAACATTACATTTCTAGCTGTCTTCTTGATGACATTAGTCAGTTGCCAAGTACTTCCTTTGTAGTGGTCATGTGCATGGCTGCTTCTGAGCAAAGTGTTTGTATTATAACAAAGCATCCAACATCAATATACGGCATGGCCAATCATTGTAGCACTCTCAAACAGTCAACACATCACCACAACCAGATGCATAGCAGACATGTATACAAACACAAACCAGGAAATAAGATGTGACATGGCTGTGCAGCAGGGAAGTATACAAGATAATGAGAAGGACAAGCAGCCAACACGGGAAATGATAACGCAAGGTCCCTCGATTTATGCATACAGTTGAAGAGGAACAGAAGAAGGGATGAAAAGAGGAAGGGTGGAAAAGAGGGAGGAACTGATGAAGGGAGGAACGGCGGGGGAGAAGAACACGACAGCACTCACCAGCACAGCACTCACCAGCACTGCACTCACCAGCACAGCACTCACCAGCACTGCACTCACCAGCACAGCACTCACCAGCACAGCACTCACCAGCACTGCACTCACCAGCACTGCACTCACCAGCACTGCACTCACCAGCACAGCACTCACCAGCACTGCACTCACCAGCACTGCACTCACCAGCACTGCACTCACCAGCACAGCACTCACCAGCACAGCACTCACCAGCACTGCACTCACCAGCACTGCACTCACCAGCACTGCACTCACCAGCACTGCACTCACCAGCACTGCACTCACCAGCACTGCACTCACCAGCACAGCACTCACCAGCACTGCACTCACCAGCACTGCACTCACCAGCACAGCACTCACCAGCACTGCACTCACCAGCACTGCACTCACCAGCACAGCACTCACCAGCACTGCACTCACCAGCACAGCACTCACCAGCACAGCACTCACCAGCACTGCACTCACCAGCACTGCACTCACCAGCACTGCACTCACCAGCACAGCACTCACCAGCACTGCACTCACCAGCACTGCACTCACCAGCACTGCACTCACCAGCACAGCACTCACCAGCACAGCACTCACCAGCACTGCACTCACCAGCACTGCACTCACCAGCACTGCACTCACCAGCACTGCACTCACCAGCACTGCACTCACCAGCACTGCACTCACCAGCACAGCACTCACCAGCACTGCACTCACCAGCACTGCACTCACCAGCACAGCACTCACCAGCACTGCACTCACCAGCACTGCACTCACCAGCACAGCACTCACCAGCACTGCACTCACCAGCACTGCACTCACCAGCACAGCACTCACCAGCACTGCACTCACCAGCACTGCACTCACCAGCACTGCACTCACCAGCACTGCACTCACCAGCACAGCACTCACCAGCACAGCACTCACCAGCACTGCACTCACCAGCACTGCACTCACCAGCACTGCACTCACCAGCACAGCACTCACCAGCACTGCACTCACCAGCACTGCACTCACCAGCACAGCACTCACCAGCACTGCACTCACCAGCACTGCAGGGTGGGTGAGTGAGCAGGGAGTGTGAGTGAGCAGGGTGTGTGAGTGAGAAGGGTGACAACTACAGCATTGACTATGGCAATCCCCCCTGTTGGCGCCCACTGCTGCTTCTGTGTCGGAGGTGTGTGGTATGCCACCACTTCCTTGAAGGCTGCTGCTGCCGCCCACAGAGGGCCAGAACAAGGGGAAAAACGGAGGGAAGGAGAAGGGGAAAGGGAGGGAGGGAGAAGGGTGTGAGAGAGGGACGGGTGTGAGAGAGGGATGGGTGTGAGAGAGGGACGGGTGTGAGAGAGGGACGGGTGTGAGAGAAGGACGGAAGTGAGAGAGGGACGGGATTGATTGAGGGAGCGAGAAAGCGCGGTGGCATCGTTCTCGCGTGAGGAGGGTGCGAGAGCAACGGGTGAGAATGCGGGACGACAGTGACTGCGGAACGGGTGGGATAGCTGCGTGCTACGAGGTGAGCGAGGAACGGAGCAGCGAGGAGAGGAACGGAGCAGCGAGGAGAGGAACGGAGCAGCGAGGAGAGGAACGGAGCAGCGAGGAAAGGAACGGAGCAGCGAGGAGAGGAACGGAGCAGCGAGGAGAGGAACGGAGCAGCGAGGAGAGGAACGGAGCAGCGAGGAAAGGAACGGAGCAGCGAGGAGAGGAACGGAGCAGCGAGGAGAGGAACGGAGCAGCGAGGAAAGGAACGGAGCAGCGAGGAGAGGAACGGAGCAGCGAGGAAAGGAACGGAGCAGCGAGGAGAGGAACGGGGCAGCGAGGAAAGGAACGGAGCAGCGAGGAAAGGAACGGAGCAGCGAGGAAAGGAACGGAGCAGCGAGGAGAGGAACGGAGCAGCGAGGAGAGGAACGGAGCAGCGAGGAGAGGAACGGAGCAGCGAGGAGAGGAACGGAGCAGCGAGGAGAGGAACGGAGCAGCGAGGAGAGGAACGGAGCAGCGAGGAGAGGAACGGAGCAGCGAGGAGAGGAACGGAGCAGCGAGGAGAGGAACGGAGCAGCGAGGAGAGGGGAAGGAGAGGGGGAACTGATGCGGAGCAGAAGGGGAAAGTATGGAAAGCACTGGGGGCATTCATGGGGAGCAAAAGGGGAAAATTTGGGGAGCAAAAGGCATTCTTGGGGAGCAAAAGGGCATTCATGGGGAGCAAAAGGGGTAAATTTGGGGAGCAAAAGGCATTCTTGGGGAGCAAAAGGGCATTCATGGGGAGCAAAAGGCATTCTTCCCCCTCCCTGGTCACCTACCTCCCCCTTATCACAGCACCTCCCTTCCCCCTCTCATCTCACCTCCCAACCACCTCTGACCTCACCTCCCTTTCCACTCCCTAAGCACCTCTCTTCCCCATCTCACATCACTTATTTCCCCCCTGCTAGCACCTCCATCCCCCCTAACTAAGAACCTCTCTTCCTCCTCCGAACTCACACACCTTTCCAACTCCCCTCACCTACCTTCACCGTCTGAGCTCTCCTCTCTTCCCCCTCCATAAGCACATTTTTTCCCCCTCTCACATCACATCCGTTTCCCTTATCTCAACACATCCCCCCCCCCCCCCTCTGAACTCACCTCCCTTCCCCCTCCCACAACACACACACCCTATCATGGCACCTCCATTCCCCCGTCTGACCTCACATCCCTCCCCCATTCCCTCTCATTCCGCCATTTTCCATCATTTCGCCTCTCATTCCGCCATTTTCCACCATTGCGCCTCTCATTCCGCCATTTACCACCATTTCGCCTCTTATTCCGCCATCTACCACCATTCCGCCTCCCCGCCAACTTCCACCATTCCGCGTCTCATTCCGCCCATCATTTCGCCTCTCTAACCGCCATCTAACGCCATTCCGCCACTAATTCCGCCATCTACCGCCATTCCGCCACTAATTCCGCCATCTACCGCCATTCCGCCAATAATTCCGCCATCCACCGCCATTCCGCCACTAATTCCGCCATCTACCGCCATTCCGCCAAAAATTCCGCCATCCACCGCCATTCCGCCACTAATTCCGCCATATACCACCATTCCGCCACTAATTCCGCATGGAATAAAACCGCAAATCCGTCGAGCTCACCTACTAAAGGCAGGGGAGGAGTGCGAGGCAACCCGGAATGGGGTATCACGATGCAGAATGTAAACGAAGTGATGTGGAGCGGGACTCAAAGAAGTGGGTTGTCTAAGTGCATAATGAGGTTCTTGGTGAATGACCTATGAGGACTTCTCTGTGATAGTATACGCTAGGACACGCGATAGTAAAGCGTAAAACACTTGAACGGGTGCAGGAACTACGCTCCTTGTGAGAATGGTAGAGTTGGGTGTCTCATATTTCCGACCCCTGTAAAATGCTTGGTCTGCACACGGGAGAGTGCGACACTCTGTTGTCGCAGCCTGTGGTTTCGTCGCGCAGGTGTGTCTCCCAGCCTGGTTTGGCGAAACCATACACTGAGTCACACCACGTTGTTTGTACTGTACATTTGGTTTGCGGGGCCGACCCACACCCAACCAACCTTCCCAAACCTAACCCTTGCTTGGGGGTGTTATGCGACAAAACAGGCTGTTACCGGATCCCAAGCGTTTAACACTTGGTTGGAACGAAAAAATATGAGACGCGAGCTTTAAGCACTTCGTTATTATCACAATGTTTCGGCAGATCGTAGTTTCCGTAGGTTCGCAGGCCGGTGAAAATCTTTGCTGCTATGGCGCGTCGTCTCCTCTCCCTTCGTTTATTATTCTCCCGCTCCTTCCACGTCGGCAAGCGTTGAGCCGTCGAGCCACGATTCGATGAAATAAGTCTATTGTTGTCCCTCTGAAACTGCTTTGAATCCTCCTCCAGGTCGTCCGCATAACTCGTAGCCAGATCCATTGGTCGAAACCCTTAGTAGCTACAAAACGCCTAAAGAACTCTGGGAACTACGCTTGGTGATGTTGTGTAAGGGGAGGTGAAGTAGTGCCAGGAACTAAAAACGGTAGGAGGCACAAGAAGCTAAGTAAGAAAGAATTGCAGGAGGGAAATGACAGGAAATCAGTGGGACGACGAGCCGTTGCCCTATTTGGGGTTTGGTTGGTTGGTTTGGGAGCGAAGTGGTGACGGTCAGGGTGAGGTTGTGCTGTACCCTCACCCTGACCGTCACCGGCGGAGGAAGGGGAGGTGGGGGGCACCTCGGCTTGCTGGTGAATGCATGCATTCAGCAGTGTACGTGTGGCATCTGACTCAAGAGGGTTGGGTTGGGGTTGGGGTTCGGGCAGTACGTGTACAGTACTCAATTTGCGCGGGCAGGGGAGGGGAGATCCAATCCTTATCCGCCAGGTGCTGTTCATTCGCATCCCGTCACCCGTCCGTGACATCCTCGGGTAGGTCGGGACTCGGGGCTGCTGTCCGCAGATTGGGTTGCGCGCGCCAGCCGAACTCCCCCCAGATTTTCAAGATGGATTCAGACTTGTCGCACGGAGGCTCCGCCGCAGTGCAAAGGACAATGGTGACATGCGCAACTTGGTTTGAGTCGAACCAAACCAAGCGCATGCAAATTTGATCGCAGGCGCTCGTGCAGGTGGAGGTGGATGTGGCGAAAGGACGTTTCTCCCCATGTGGTGTAACCGTGTGGTCCGGCCCCGTCTGGTTTGTTCTGCTGCGCTGGTTGTGGTCCCCAAAAGCAACGCGGAGAGGGTGCAAGAGGAGAGGGGTTGAGGGGAAGGTGGGGTGCGGTGTGGTGCAAAGTGGGGGAGCAGGGAGGCAGTGGGTGCTCAGCTCACACACACAGCAGCACATCAGCGTGAAAATACGCGTACACTAGATGCCCAACCCCTGCACGCGAATTTGCTCTACCCACGATGGAAACTCTGCACCCGTGTATTAGGGTACCAGCCAGTTGCACCTCATTTATAAGCACCTCGAGCAATACGAACCACAAAAACCGAAGTTTGATAGAAGAGACCCATGTCAAACGGTCAACAGCGAGTTACAAAATCTTTTAAAAGCCCTTTTTGCTAAGTGCGAATTGACGAAAACTTAGCGAAATGAAAGAATCACTTAAGAGCCCTCTTTGTAAGGCAACCTTGGGTTAGTCAAACGGGCATCGTGTGTAGTGCGCATTGTTGGCGCGCAGTACGCTTTGCAGGGAAGCAAGCTGCCAAACCTGGACTGGAGCGGGTCTGCACTGCACGCTTGCTCGAAGGGGCAATCGCCCGCACAGACCATGCCCCTCGAAGACACGACGACGAAGCAAGGTGCAGTTCGTGCGAAGGCTCACACACGGCTCACGAATGCTGAGCGAGCCACACGTGCCACGCATTCAAAACGTACAACTGGATCCTGCTGCCAATCATACATAGGCATTGCTGTGGCAGGTCCAGAAGGGCAGCTTTCAACACCAGCAAAACCATTCTCGATCATGTGCTACTTTAGGGGCATTTAAACCTTATATCATTACATTTGGAAATCGAGTTACGGAATCGATAGACTGATTGGCGCTGTAGCAACATATGGTTTTAACACGCAACTGGATTCGAAGTACACGTGGAAATATGCAAAGAAGAAACCTGGAAAGTGCAAAAGTTACTGATGACGTCATAATATCAGGGCGAAATTGGGACTCCCCCTTCATTCCCCACTCCCTCAGGACCGGAGTCCCGCCCCCAAGCACTCCTCCCCAAGCCCACTGGACACATGGCTGTCGTGGAGGCTTGAGCAAGAGGCAGGCAGCCACTCAGGTGTTTACAGTAAACCTGCAAAACAAACCTTGGGCAGAATCATCAGCGTGAAAAATACTCTCTGCACGTTATCAGAAGTATCTGAACACGACATATCAAAGCACACTTAAGCATCAGGGCAGTTTGGACCACACGATGCTACTTCAGGTGTGACTGACGCCTCTGCACTGGGTGTGCGTTACACACACCCCAACTTTTCCCTGTCTAAGGGACCGAAGCGACTAATGGACCGAAGCGAGCAAAGGTAATTCGTCTACATCGCCAACCTCCGCGACTGGTAAAAACCGGATTCTTGAAAGCAGATGGATGAAACCGTGATACGCTGTGCGATCAACGGCTGCGATCAATCGAGTGATATGGGCCATTGCCCGTGTTCAAATGCACGAGAGACATGGTTCTTGCCATGACTAAGGCAAATACACGCGAATAGGTTGAGCATCATGTGTACACGTGAAGTGCTTCTCTTGCTCCGCGAACTACTGTAGAGGCAGTACGGGCCACCGATTGCCCATGGTACTGTAGCAACATCTCGGAAAACGACTGGGCTTGAAAATTATGCAATGTAACTGTCCAGCACAAGCCACCTCGCCTCAACTTTCACCTCACTACCGCCACCATTGTCAACGACTCCGCGTGCCAGATTGCATGGATTTGATACGGTGGTCAGGATTATATGGGGCAACAATGAGCTGTGGATTCGTGAAGGTTTGGCAAACGGCCAAACGATTGCAAACCACAAGTTACCTGATCCTCTTTGTGCTTCGCTGGAATTTAACATAATGTTATCGCCAGTTAGATGTTGTAGACTAGGTTTAGGAGTTCCTTCACCATATATTTTTTATAAATGTGCTGTGTTTGCGGTTGAAAACCACAGTTACAGCACGAATAGGGGGTGGAGGGGGGTGGGGATGGGAGGGGAATAGGGAGGGGGTGCTATTCTAGATGCAACCCCCATAGTAGGGTCGTGGCGCAAGACGACAATAGACGGGTCACAGCGGCTTTCAGCCTTCTCCGTTTTGCACCCTGACGCAACAACATACGGTACAGTGAACCACACAGGGTTGGCTGTAAACGTATGCGCTGGACCTGCTTTTGTTCTGTACTCACCTTACAGAACCATTTTTGTAGTCTGTTCAACAATGACTGCAGGGCAATCAATCATTCCATTATCAGTACAGTACGTCTCGATGCTTGCTGTGCACCCGGTACATCAATACAACTCCAAGTGGGACACATCATCATCATTTTAGCCTTTCTTTGTCCATAGCTGCACCATTTGTACCGGGTAACCTTGCTGTCACCAGAAAAGGGTACACATAGTACCGCTGGGACTGCATAAGGAACTTCCTTTCACACGGATCAGGAAAAGAGTGTACTTCCATAAAAAAACAACGTCACATCAGTGTACCACTTGCTTTGATCGCCTTTTGCTGCCCTTCCTACAACACCTCCCCCTGACAGCACGCGGCAAAGCCTTGACCATGTAAGGCCCCTCGAGCTCATATCCGAGCTTCCTGTAGTAGTGGCGGGTTCCTATGCCCGATATCACTGCCAGCTTGCTCGATCCATGCTCCCACCGCACAATGCGCTCCGCCTCCTCCATCAGCAGCGTGCCGTATCCCTGCAACCGCAAAGCACCGCAGTGCACCGCAGCCAACCCAAACCAACCAAAAGAGGAGAGTTTGAGACAAGAAGGAACACGTTTCTTCCCTGAAAGGTCAAACAGCAACCATGGTGATAACCATAACGATAAACCACTGCGTGGCACTGTTCCTACCCACTTGCCTGGTGCTGCCATGTGCCTCATCCAACCCACTCGCCTGGTGCTGCAGCTTGTCAGTGTCGCGCGTGTGCACGGGTACAGCAGTGCCATACACATGCAACTCATGCCACGCATGCCACACATGCCACACATGACACGGCATGCCCAATCCAACCCACTCGCCTGGTGCTGCAGCTTGTCAGTGTCGCGTGTGTGAACGGGTACAGCAGTGCCATACACATGCAGCTCTCGCTACACATGCCTGCACCACTGTATCACCTACCTGATCCTACCCACTCGCATGGTGAGGCCCACTCACCTGGTGCTGGAGCTTGTCGGTGTCACGGGTGTGCACGGGCACAGCAGTGCCATACACTTGCAGCTCCCCCACTATGGAGCATCGCCTCTGAATGCTCAAAGGTGACTCCAATACAGTTGATCTACCTGGTGCTGGAGCTTGTCGGTGTCGCGTGTGTGCACGGGCACAGCAGTGCCATACACATGCAGCTCTCGCACTATGGAGCATCGCCCTCTCAGCTCCGGACACGTCACGTGCGCCCCGCACCGCCTAAGCCGCAGCAGCCCCACCAGAATATCCTGCCGGGAAGAACGAGAGGGGGGCACAAGAGGGAGGGAGGGTCACAAGGTGAAATCTGAGGCGACTCAACAGCAGTCGCAGTATGGAGTACCACCCCCTTTGCTCTGCACATGTCACGTGCACACCTGATCACCACTAGGTTAACACCGCTCACTCTCTCACCTGGTTACCACACTGTAACCAGCTCGACACTTTCTGTCTCACCTGGGTCACGTCTTCGTAGGAGAGAAATGTTTCCCATCCATTGTTGGCGGCGTAGTCCCGGTGCACGAGCTGCACGTCATGCGGCCTCACGGCATGGTGAATCTCCTGAATGCCCGCCTCCCACCATGGTTACCTCCTCTCACTCTCTCACCTGGATCACGTCTTCGTAAAAAGAAGCGCCTCCCATCCATGGGGGGAAGCATAGTCCCGCCGCACCAGCTGCACATCGTGCGGCCTCACGGTATGTTGTGCGCACATCCCGGCACCGCAGCCGCAGCTCTGCCATGCCACGCGGGCCACATGTACAACTACCTCTCTCCACCTGGTTACCACATGACATGGTAACCACCTAGAAAAGTCTTAGTTTGTCTCACCTGGGTAACATCGTCATACGAGAGGTCACTGCCTCTCTCACACCCGGTTACCACATGGTAACCACCTCACCTGAGTCACGTCTTCGTACGAGAGAAACGTTTCCCATCCATCATTAGCCGCGTAATCTCTTCGCACGAGCTGCACGTCATGCGGCCTGAGAGCGTGGTGAATGTCCTGAATGCCCGCCTCCCTCGTGCGCACATCCCGACACCACAGCCCCAGGTCCGCCATGCCATGCGCACCGCATATATTACCGCCTCCCTCTCACCTGGTTACCACATGGTAACCATCCAGTTACCACCCAGTTACCACCTGATTCCGACTCTCACCATCTTACCTGCGTCACGTCTTCGTAAGAAAGAAACGTTTCCCATCCATCGTTGGCGGCGTAATCTCTCCGCACCAGCTGCACATCATGCGGCCTCACAGCGTGATGGATGTCCTGAATGCCTGCCTCCCTCGTGCGCACATCCCGGCACCGCAGCCCCAGCTCTGCCATGCGGACCACATAGGTCACCGCCTCTCTCTCACCTGGTTACCACATGGTAACCACCTAGAAAAACCCTTTTTGTCTCACCTGGGTTACATCTTCGTATGAGAGGAACGTCTCCCAGCCATCGTTGGCCGCATAGTCTCGCCGCACCAGGTTACCACCAGGTCACTGCCTCTCTCTCACCTGGTTACCACATGGTAACCACCTCACCTGCGTCACGTCTTCGTACGAGAGAAATGTCTCCCAGCCATCATTAGCCGCGTAATCTCTCCGCACCAGCTGCACGTCATGTGGTCTCACAGCGTGGTGAATGTCCTGAATGCCCGCCTCCCTCGTGCGCACATCCCGACACCGCAGCCCCAGCTCCGCCATGCGCGCCAGTGCCAGCTCGCGCAGGTTGCCCTTGTCGATTCCCGACGTCACCAGTGGCAGCGGGATGTCTCTCATGATGCGGTACACGCGCGTCCAGGGAGGCACCAGGGCGAGGATCCGCGCTACTAGGTCGATTAGCTTCTCCGGTGGGTAGTTGCGGTACCTGGGGAGGGACGGGGAGGAGAGAGGGCGGAAGGGGGGGAAGCAGCGGGATGTCTCGCATGATGCGGTGGACCCGTGTCCAGGGAGGCACCAAGGCGAGGATGCACGCTACTAGATCGATTAGATTCTCCGGAGGGTAGTTGCGTTACCTAGGGGGGGAGGAGGCGGGAGGAAGGAGAGGAAGATTGTTGAGTCGACAAAAAAACGACTCACATGTCGAGCCAATCATTGCCTGGAGGGGAGGAGGGACGAGGAGGGGGAAGGAGGGAGAGGAAGCAGCGGGACCAGGGCGTAGACGCGCGTCCAGTGGGGCACCAGGGCCAAGATACGTGCTACTAGGTCGATGAGTTTTTCGGGAGGGTAGTTGCGGTACCTGGTGGGGCAGGAAGGATGGGGGAGGGGAGGAAAGTGAGGAGGGGAGGAAAGGGAGGAGGGGAGGAAAGGGAGGAGGCGAGGAGAAGGGGGAGAGTAGGCAGCAGGCAGCGGGATGTGGCGCATGACGCGGGAGACGCGTGTCCAAGGTGGCACGAGGACGAGCATGCAGGCGACTAGGTGGATGAGCTTCTCTGGCGGGTAGTTGCGGTACCTGTGGAGGGGGGTAAGGAGGGCGAGTTCCTTGAGTCAACAGAAAACGACTCAAGAGTCGACTCAGAAGTTGCCTGCAGGAGAGGAGCGGGGAGGAGGGAGGGAAAGCAGCGGGATACCGCGCGTGAAGCGTGATGCGCGTTTAAGAGTAGACGCGCGCGTGAAGAGGGGCACGCGGACGAGTATGCGCGGCGGCGCCGCTAGTACTAAATTGATGAGCTTCTCCGGTGGGTAGGTAGTTGCGGTACCTGCGGGAGAGGAGGGGGGGAGAGGGAGGAGGGCAAGGGGCCGAGGGGGAGAGGAGGCAGCAGCAGCAGACGCACATGACGCAGTAGATTTGAGACCAGGGGGGGCATGAGGGCCAGGGGGGCATGAGGGCCAGGGGGGCATGAGGGCCGGGGGGCATGAGGGCCAGGGGGGCATGAGGGCCAGGGGGGCATGAGGGCCAGGGGGGCATGAGGGCCAGGGTGGCATGAGGGCCAGGGGGGCATGAGGGCCAGGGTGGCATGAGGGCCAGGGTGGCATGAGGGCCAGGGTGGCATGAGGGCCAGGGTGGGGTAGAGCTTTAGCGCATCCATGAAAAAGACAGAGCTGAAGCTTTCGCTTTAACCCAACCCACCCCCTCCCCTTACCTGCCAGTCTTCCATAGCTCGTAGAGCCCCGTGCCGCGGATGACGAGCGTGGGGTAGAGTTTGAGCCCGTCCGTGCGGAAGGCCGGGTTGTGCATGAACTCTCTGAACGACTCCATGTCCCTCTCCATGCCCACGCTGGGTAGGTCCGGCATCATGTGCGCCACCACCTGGGGGGGGGAAGGGGGAGGGGAGTGGTGAAGGGAGGGAAGGGTTTAGGTAAAGAGAGGCATGAAGCATGAGGCATGAAGCATGAGGCATGAACTCCCTGAACGACTCCATGTCCTCTCCATGCCCACGTTGGGTAGGTCCGGCATCATGTGCGCCACCACCTGGGGGGAGGGAGAGGAGCGGGAGAAAAGGAGACATGAAAGAGGCACGTGAGGGCAAGATACAGCCAGCCAGCATCACACCGGCACCAGCACGCAGCACACAACACACGGCACACGTTACACGTTCCTCCCACCAGACCAGCACACACGACGCACCTTAAAGCCCGCGTCCTTGGCGAGGCAGAAGCAGTCGGCGACGGCAGCGACGGTGTGGCCGCGGTTGGTGTCCCGGGCCACGTCCTCATACGTGCTCTGCACTCCTATCTCCAGCCGCGTGCACCCGTATGCTAGCATCTGCCTCAAATGGGGTCCCAGGCAGTAGTCTGGACGGCTGGGGGAGCAAAGGGGGGAGAAAGGGGCGGGAACATTGGAAAGAGTGTGTGTGCTCTGCACTCCTATCTCCAGCCGCGTGCACCCGTACGCTAGCATCTGCCGCAGGAGCGGCCCCAGGCAGTAGTCGGGACGACTGGGAAAGGGAAACGGGGGGCGGCAGGGAGGTTGGAATCAAATGAAATGGCTTGCATTGGCACGCCGATCTCCAGCCGCGTGCACCCACCCACCCGTACGCCAGCATCTGCCTCAAACGAGGTCCCAAACAGTAGTCGGGACGTCTGAGGGAGGTGAACATTGGAAAGAGTGGGTTCGCCCTGCACGCCAATCGCGTGCATCCATACAGTAGCTTCAAGCGCATAAAGAGTTTCGATGGTTGGTTGGAAACAGTCAAGCGCATAAAGAGTGTTTCCAACTCGTAAAATGGCTGGCTGGTTGGCTGGCTGGCTGGTCGGCTGGCGGGGCGGGTTGGCTGGCTGCTTCTAAGAGGCGCTCACGTTTCGATGGTGAGGCCGATGCAGCGCGTGGCGGCATGCTCGGCGTACTGCACTGCCTCCGCAACAGACGCGGAGGAGCGGCCTGAGAGCGCGTCGTGCAGATTGCGCACGAAGAAGTCGCGATAGTCCGCTGGGAGGGACATGAACGTGCCGCCCATGAGGATGTACTCCACCTGATGGCGGAGATGTGGTGGTGTGATGGTAGGGTGATTATATGGAGAGAATTGGCATACACAGGTAGTCCGCTGGCAGCGACATGAACGTGCCGCCCATTAGGATGTACTCCACCTGATGGCGGAGATTGTGAGGTTGGTGGGGGCGAGGGTGGTGTGATTACAGAAAGGGGTGGTGTGACTGCAGAGGGGGGCGTTGTGCAGATTGCACACGAAAATGTGGAGAAGATTGGCCCGCAAAGACACCGAGTCCCAGCCACACCTCTATGTCCCAGCCGTACCTTATCCACGCTGTGTCCGAGTCGCCTCAGCTGGTCGACTCGACCGCGCGCCTGCACGTACGGGTGATATCGCGCCCGAATCGCGCGCATGCTAGTCGGCTCATACCCGGTATAAGACTGCGTCGAATACTCGAAATCGGAATCGGGCCCGCCAGGGCAGTACACGCAGATATTCCCTGTCGTCGCTATATGCGGGCATCTATGCGGTTTGGACATCACGGCTACGACCGCGATTCCCGAGGCCGTGCGAACGGGTTTCGCGCGGAGCCTTGGGATCAGCGCGTCGCGGTGCTCCTCGGGAACCGCGGCGATGATTTCGACGAGCTTCGGCGCGCGCGACAGCCCGTGCTTTCGCGACGCGTCGGATTTGATCGCGTTGAGATTGACGTCGCGACCCGCGCGCACGCCGTCGATCATCGCCCGCACGATCTCGGAGATCGCGCGCACGCGGGATTCTTCCGGGGACGCGGACAGAACGACCCCGCCGCGCCCCGGCGTGGGCTTCTTTCCGCCGATCGCGGATGAGTCCGCGGAAGCGGTGGTTCCGCCAACCCCGCCGAACTCGGATAACGCCCCCATGGAGACGAGGTCCTTATCGAATATACGTTCAGTCGACTCGGCTCAGAAGTCAGTTGAAAACACTACGTTCGAGAGACGGTCCGACAAACGCGCAGACTAGCGCAGCTAAAGCTACAAATCAGAATATCATTCGGAGGCGGTTCGAAGTCACCACTATCTACCACTAATCTACTATCTCCTCCAGGGCAACGACGGTGCGCATGACAACACCTAGGCTGAGGTTCCAGGATTAATCCTCGAATGAAGACTTTAGAAAGACCCGCTAAAAGTGTCGAGCTCATTCACTATTTACAGAAGTATACAGCGAGTTTTTTACACAATAACGTAGAGAATAATACGTGCATCGTTCTCCCTGCAAGGACACCGTCCGTTTGCACGAGTCTAATTGGAAATAATGCAACGATGCCAGTAACGCGGTAACCCTTTCTCGTGTGAAGCTCTTTCGCTCTCTCTCTGTAAACCCGATGAGTAGCTGACACGTCTTGATACTGCCGAGGATGCTCACCCATTTCTGAGAAGAATATTCTTTCATAACTCTCATCTCAACCTGCAACAAAGGGGCACAAACAGACACTTATTATAAAAAAAAAAAACAGGAAATAAGCACTTACGTACCAATAAACAATAAACTTAATTAACCTAGCTACACTCACCCTGACGGCACTGAAAGGCCGGGTAGTTGTCGCGCTCGCATTGGCGGACTGGAGGGACGCCAACCACTCGGCGTTCCTGAATCCCACGCGCACCTTGCCGTAGCGCCTAAAGAGGTGGCGCTCCCAGCTCTGGCTGGCCTTGCTGTTTGTCACCGATATGAACGTGCTGCTCCGGTCCCACCACACACGACACACATGACAGACGCATACATGATTGGGGGCAGGTTTCGATTGAATCAGAATAGACACAATAGGAGATCAGAATGATGAGAGCGGGAAATGATGGGAGCAGAGAATGATGGGATCAGAGAATTGGAGGACTCTCACCTCCCCCAGTTGACCCCTCACCTCCCCCAGTTGACCCCTCACCTCCCCCAGTTGACCCCCCACTTTGACCCCACACCTCTTGCTAGTGAGCAGCGAAGTGAAGGTATTGAACTGCCCGGTCTTGCTGCCCATCAGCTCCATTTCCCCCAGTTGCGCCCGGATGCACACCGCCACTGGGGGAGGCGTCTCCCACGTCACACTCATGGCCTTGAGCTGGTGTTGGGATGGCATGGGGTGATGGCGCATGGGGGTGATGGCGCATGGGGGTGATGGCGCATGGGGGTGATGGCGCGTGGGGGTGATGGCGCGTGGGGATGATGGCGCATGGGGGTGATGGCGCGTGGGGGTGATGGCGCGTGGGGGTGATGGCGCGTGGGGGTGATGGCGCGTGGGGGTGATGGCGCATGGGGGTGATGGCGCATGGGGGTGATGGCGCATGGGGGTGATGGCGCATGGGGGTGATGGCGCATGGGGGTGATGGCGCATGGGGGTGATGGCGCATGGGGGTGATGGCGCATGGGGTTGATGGTCCGCCGAGTGCCACTGCTGCAATTGGTGCATGGGGGTGATGGTCCGGCGGTCCGCCAATACGTGCAGCTCGCACGTCACCTTTGACATGATTGAAAGCACACTTCATTACGCACCCCACGCCTTTTGAAGCTGTTCCATGCACCACACCTTTTCGAATTGTTCCGTGCAGTGTGTGAGGCTGGCAGCAACGCGGGCGATGTTGCGGCGCTGCCAGCTCAGTGTCTTCCCTCTGCGCTGCCGCTCCACATCGCTATCAAACTGCCGCTCCCACGCGCCCTCCCATGCGCTCTCCCACGCCTGCTTCTTGAGAGTCCGCAGAAACCAGCTCACCTTTTCAAACTGCTCAGTGCAATGTGCGAGGCTGGCAGCAACCCGCCCAATGTTGCGGCGCTGCCAGCTCAGAGTCTTCCCTCTGCGCTGCCGCTCCACATCGCTATCAAACTGCCGCTCCCACGCGCCCTCCCATGCGCTCTCCCACGCCTGCTTCTTGAGAGTCCGCAGAAACCAGCTCACCTTTTCAAACTGCTCAGTGCAATGTGCGAGGCTGGCAGCAACCCGCCCAATGTTGCGGCGCTGCCCGCTGAGAGTCTTCCCTCCGCGCTGCCGCTCCACATCCCGGTCGAACTGCCGCTCCCACGCGCCCTCCCACACCTGCGTCGCGTCGCACAGCTGCAGCCCGGGCGGCAACGGGTGGCGGTACATGCCGCCCGTGGCACGCACTGTGTTGATCAGCGCCGCCGCCTGACGGGGACGAAGGGTTGGGGAAGAGGGCCTGATCAATTCAGACCAGTCGAATCTACAGTGCCTCTCCCATCCCATGCCCCCACTGCGCCACTGCACCAACCCCTCTCCGTTTCAGTTTCTCCCTGCTGTCCCAATCCCCCCTTCCCCGCTCACCTCGTCACCAGCAGCACACGGGGAGGAGCAGGTCCGGCACTTGGCGCCATTCAGCGGCCCGTAGGTCGCAGTCGAGAACATCATGGCAGCGCACCCATCTCCCCCCCTTGACCGCCTCCGCGTCACCACACAGAAGTGAAAATGCTTCCTTGCCACCGCGACCCCTCCAACCTCCATCTGCGCCCGAAACGCCTTCTCAGACGTCAGCGCCCTATACCCTGCACTGAACAAGTCCTGTAACGCGGATAAGCGCCTGAGAGCCACGTTAGAGGCTGATATGAGATCGAGACAGCCCTCCACGAGACGGAAATACTGCAGCAGACCCTGAGGGGGTGGTGAAAGAATGGGGTCGATGGGGAAAAACGGGGGGTGTGGAGAGAGAAAAGGGAATGCAGAGTAGACGAGGGGAGGGACGCTGTTGATTCGACCAGACACGCCTTCATCCATTTGTCTGAATGCCATGTTGCCCATTCTGCGAACCCCACCAGTAATGCACAATGCACCCCACTGGTAATGCACAGCACCGGGAACACCACGTGCCATGCCCTGCCCACCTGGATGCCATGTGGCGAGCCGTTACTGGTGAGCACCGCGCGGTGCTGGTCTGTCTCTGCGATGTCCGCACTGGGGAAGATGCGCACCGCTGCTATGCTCACCGCACTCTCTGTGCTGTTGCTGTTGCTGCCAGCAGCTGTGGTACCATCAGCAGAAGCAGCAGCAGAGGAGGCGGTGGTGGTGTTGGGGGGAGCAACAGGGGCGGCGAGCAGCAGCGCCCACAGCTTGCTGGCGCGCTCGTCCAGCGGCGAGTGCAGGAAGAGGTGAGCTGGCGGGTAGCGGCTGATGACGTGGCGCAGGATGGACGGCCACGTGGCCTCGAAGTCCCGCGCGCCGCCCACGAGGCAGATGGCAACTGGACCGTCGTTGGCCGCAGTCACGGTTGCCTCGGCACAGGCAGTAGTATTGTCACTAGCAGTGTCACCACTAGCACCACTTGCAGCATTAGGCTTGGCGCTTACAGCAGCAGCTGTGGCAGCAGGGGGAGATGGCACGCCGTGTGCAGCCTGGCGCTGCACTGCCACCTGCTGCTGCTGCGGCTGCTGCGGCTGCTGCGGCTGCTGCGGCTGCTGCTGCTGCTGTTCTGAGGCCTTGCCCTGTTGGGCTTTGAGCAGCGTCAAGCTCATCCCGACCTGTTTCCCCACGTGCTGCTGCGACTGCTGCTCCTGCGTTAGAAGTTTGTTCTTAGACGCGTGCGACGCAGAGTCGTTCTGCTTCGCAGGTTTCTCTTCCCGCGTGTCCCGCTCGTCGCTGCTCTGCTGGCCGGCGCTCTGCTCCTTTTGCTGCCCCAGCCGCCCCTGCTCCAGTTGCTCGTGCTGTTGCTGTTGCGGTGGCGCTTGCCCCTGCTGCGGCCGCACCGAGAGGCTACTTTGCAGCCGTTGAAGCCATGCACGGGAGGTGGCATTGCCGGCTGGGAGAAGAGCGAAGGCGGACGGCGAAGTGAGCAGCGTGAAGTGCGCCGTGGCGAAGTATGCGACGGTCCATGCGACGACGAGTGCGACGAACAGCAGCGCCACGCCCACGCGCGAACCGCCTGCCGACGACCCCAGCAACCGCCTCATTGCCGATGCTCGCTCAGAATCTTTCAGCTGCCAAAATTTACTGCTGGTTAAGTATTTTATTAGTTTTGTCAGTGCAGATAAACATATCAGAGTGGCGCAGCGGAAGCGTGGTGGGCCCATAACCCACAGGTCCCAGGATCGAAACCTGGCTCTGATACCTTTGCCCTCCTCACTACCTGATTTTTCATTTCACGTCCTTCTTCCCTCGCCCGATATTTTTGTTCTCACTGGTCGTGACTCCGCACCCTGACAGCAGAGAAAAGCGTAGCCTGGAGCGTTGCCTTCCCTGGAGCGCGCGGCGTTTACATCGTTAAACTCACTGGTTTTCTTCTCTGCTTAATTCTGTACGGCTCGCCTCGTTTATTGCCTTCATCTACCCGACCACTCCGCCGCGCCGGCATGTCGACAATGGACTCTCAGGATGAGCTGGAGGAGGCGGTGAGCCGAATCTACGGCGAGTGGCTCGCGCGTGGCGGCGGCCGCTCTGGCTCGCGGACTCCGTACGCACTGCGCGCCGATTACTTGCGCGCATGTTTTCCCGCGCGCGTCTTACTCCTTCTTGTACCTATTAGGCACCAAGGCGGCCGAACCCCCACCAGGGATTCGTCCCCAAAGCTTTGACAGTTGCACCGCCTTCTCTTCTTAGTTTCTCCCCGAGCCTTCTGCGGTCCTCTCCACTGCTTTTTCCCCTTCGTTTCACGCTGCTCCCGTCTCGCGCTTCTCTTCGCGGTTCCCCGTGTTTGCTTCTACGCAGTGCCGCGGAGGGGGAAGAAGCGGCGGGCGGAAGGCGGAAGGAGCGGGGCGGGAGCGGGGGAGAGGGGCTGCGACTGCTACGGGAACGCCACGTGCGATTTCTGTTGAAGGGATTGGACCACCTCTCTAGCAGCTATGCCAGCCTGGATGCCAGGTCAGCATATCAAATTCGGCTTGTCCATTCAAACTTCGCAGCGCGCTTGTCCAGCAAGCATCACTTTCCATGCTCACCCCTCTCCACCGATTTATCTACCACTTATCCCCATCGCCTCCTTCACCTCTGATTGTGTGGCTGCCAGTCAGCCGTGGCCGGTGTTTTGAAATGTGCACTCCCCTCGCCCTCCTCCAATACCCTCTCAACCCCTCGCCCTTTCCAATCCCTACTCACCCCTCTCCACCATTCCATCTCCCTTCCTCCTTCCCGCCCCACACCTTCCTCTCCTCGGAGTGTGGTTTCCAGTCGGCCATGGCTGGTGTTTTGGATCGTGCACTCCCTTGCTCTCCTCGAGCATCCTCTCGACGCGTCTCTTGCTGCTCGATGCGCCGACACGCTGCGCCGCTGCCAGGTGAGCTTCAGGTGCCGCCAGGTGAGCTTCAGGTGCCGCCAGGTGAGCTTCAGGTGCCGCCAGGTGAGCTTCAGGTGCCGCCAGGTGAGCTTCAGGTGCCGCCAGGTGAGCTTCAGGTGCCGCCAACTCTCTCCTCTTCCCATTTCCACTCTCGCACTCTCGTCGCCTCGATTCCCTGTCGTCGTCGCTTTCATCCCTCAATCACTCGCCCCATCTTTTCTTTCCTCCTCCCCTCCCTGCAGCATCCAGAGGGCGGCTTTGGAGGCGGGCCTGGGCAGGTGAGAACAGTCACATGTACTCCCATCCCATCCACCCTCTTACATGCACTCCCATCACGTACATCATTCATGTTGGCGCACACCATTCCTATCTGCACTTGCGATCACAGTCTTCCCGTTCTCTTCCCTGCATGCCTCCTTCCTCCTCCCTCTCTGCGTTCTTCTCCCTCCTCTTCCTCCTCCTCCTCCTCCTCCTCCTCCTCCTCCTCCTCCTCCTCCTCCTCCTCCTCCTCCTCCTCCTCCTCTTCCTCCTCCTCCTCCTCCTCCTCCTCCTCCTCCCCCACCTCCTCCTCCACCGCCTCCTCCATACAACCACACCACACCCTTCTGTGTACTCCTCAGCCTCCCTCCCCTCATCTTCCCTCACTCCGCCCCCCCTTCCTCTCCCTTTCAACCCTACTCCCAAACTACCTGTGTGTGTCTGTAATTCCCCCCCTGCACGCCATGCAGCTGGCGCATCTAGCCACCACGTATGCAGCAGTGGCAGCGCTGGTGACGGTGGGAGGGGAGGAAGCTCTCTCTGTGGTCAACAGGTAACCCTGCTTTTTTAAACCTTTCCATACCCCTCTTAGCGTGCTGCCATACTCCTCATAGCGTACTTCCATAGCCCTCCTCTTACGCATGTGGTTCGTCCATCCTTCTCCCTCTCCCTGCTCCTTCTCATCCCCCCTGCCTACTTACCCCTTCTCCCATTTCCCTCGCCTTACCTCATGCCCCTTCCCTTCCCTCATCTGCCTCCCCTTCCCGCATATCCCTCTCTCACACGTGCTTCCCTCCGTCTGAGGACCAGGAAAACGATGCTTGCCTTTCTGCGCCGCATGAAGTGCCAATCAGGAGGTTTCAGGTGAGCTGGTTCTCCCTGGGACTATGTCAGAAGGGCTGCCATGCCATGCCGTGCCATGCCATGCCATGCCATGCCATGCCATGCCGTGCCATGCCATGCCATGCCATGCCATGGCATGGGATGGACGTGTCTTGTCTTGAGAGGCCACCAAAGAGCATCGAGGTCAATTTTCCACTGCAAGCATCAAACTTGGAAGTCTCTTTTCCTGACCATTCCGCCCCTTCCCTCGCCCTCTCAGATGGCAGCCCCTTCTGTAACCCCTCTTGCTTATTCCATCTCTGCCGCCCACTGGTTGAGCAGGCTCCATCAAGGGGGGGAAACGGACGTGAGGGGGTGTTATACTGCTATGGCGGTGAGTCTTGTGCTGCTGCGCGGGGTTTAGAGGCGCCTCAAAAGTTTTGAGGCAGGCTACTTGAGTGCCTCGCCTGCTCATTATTTGTCGGTTGTTTGCGCTCTCCTCGTCGAGATGTCTCAACGCTTTCCCCTCTCCCACACAGGTGGCTCATCTGCTCTGCATCCGCACACCTGACCTCACAGAGAATGTGGCGACATACGTGCACAGGTGGGCGGTTGAGAGGGGTGATGAGAGATGATGAGAGATTATGCCTGCAAAGGTCTGGTTTCTGTGCATGGCAATCATAAGATGCTGCAATCTGGCAATTATACCGGCTGTGCAATGCAGTCTGCAGCTCACATGTGAAATTCCATTGCCTGCCCATGTCCTCTCCTGTCCGCCTTCACAGCTGTCAGACCTACGAAGGGGGCATTGGGGGGGAGCCAGGCGCAGAGGCGCACGGGGGGTGAGTGGGCGGAGTTGGACAGTGGCCCAGTGGGGGAAATGGAATTGGGGGGGAGGGGGAGGGGGGGTGTGAGTTGAACGCGTGGGTTGGGATGGAAGTGCATGTGAGACAGCATGGGGCGTGAGGGGAGGAACATGAGGGAGGAATTGGGGGATTGGCTTCATTACATCACATCATCATGCTCGCGGGAGCCTTTTTTCTTTAGAGATTCTTAAAAGAGTCACAGGCATTCGTCCCTTGCAAGCCCTTGGTTTCAAAATCAGAGAAGAGGGTTTCCTGTGCCCCATACCCCCCTGTGCGATCAACATGCTCCTTTCCTCACCACCGCTCTTCACATGCCCCGTCCATGCCTTGTCCCTCCCACACCGCCTCGTCCCTCCCACCACCCACCACTCGCCGTACAGGTACACATTCTGCGGGCTTGCTGCGGTGCTGTTGGCTGGCGCTGACCCCTGGGAGCATCTCGACCTGCCTCTGCTCCTGATGCGCGTCCCTGCCCCCCTCATCCAGTCAACATCCATTCAAACCTGCCCCTGTTGCTATTGGCTGCCCTTGCGAATTGTATCACCTTTGCAAGTGCTCAAATCAAATGTGACACGAGCAAAGGTTGGGTTCATCTCAACCTGCCACTGCTTCCGGTCCGTTTTTCCTGCCCCCGCCGCTGTTTTGCCCTCCAATCCTCCGCCCCATGGTGCCCACCTCACACCCTTCCTTCCTCTGCATCGTACTTCGTACCTGTTTGAGACGTCTAGAAGATTCACTCAAATCAAGCCCCATGGTGCCCACACTCTCACACCCTTCCTGCCTCGCCATCGTACTTCGTACCTTTGGTTGCCCGTGGCTTTTGAGACTTCTTGGAATCTAGCTGCTCCGTCAGAATGCCCCTCCACTGACAACATTTCATCCCCTCTTTCTCCCAACTGCCTCTCAACCGCCCCCCAACCACCTCCTCCCTGTCCTCTCCGTTGCCACACCCTCTCCATCTCCCCAACACCTCTCCTGCCATCCCATCCGTTCGTGGATCAGGACTGGTTGGTGTTTCGGCAGGGCGGGGTGGAGGGCGGGTTTCAGGGGCGAAGCAACAAGCTGGTGGACGCGTGCTACAGCCTCTGGCAGGGCGGCCTCTTCCCTCTCCTCGCCCTCTGCCCCTCCTCCTCCCACACCCGCCCCAGGGGCGATGCCAGCTCAGCGCAGCAGCCGAACAACGTGGGCTTCTCGCCGCGCTCGGATGGTGCAGCAGGGGACCGGCAAGGCGTGCAGGCAGGCAGCGACGAGGAGAGGGGGGCGGCTGGTGATTTGAGAGAGGCTGCTGGTGGGACTGGAGGGGGTGAAGAACGCTCCAGTGCCGCAGCAGGTGATGGTGGTGAGGCCGGGGGGACTGCTGGTGAGTCTGGAGGGGGAGCGGCTGGTGATTTGAGAGGCGCTGCTGGTGGGTCTGGCGGGGGTGAAGAACGCTCCAGTGCCGCAGCAGGTGATGGTGGCGGTGAGGAGGGCAGAGAGGCGGAGGTTGAAGAGGAGGAGGAGGAGGATGAGGAGGAGGAGGAAGATGAAGAGGAAGAGGATGAGTGGGAAGAAGCAGATGTGGAGTTTCACCGTGCTCCCTCTGCCTCTGCTGCTGACCTCTTCCCCTGTCCTGACTCCCTGCTGCTGCCTGCTGGACCTGGGGAGGGAGGAGAGAGGAGGGGAGGAGTGGAGGGTGGAGGAGAGGGAGAGGAGCGGAGGGAAGGGGCGACAGGTGCAGTGCGAGGGGAGGTGGGGGCCGGGGCAAGTACACATGGGCATGACTGGGCTGGCAGCTTCTGTTACAACGACGTGGGACTACAGGCTTACCTGCTGCTGTGCTGCCAGGTCGGTACTCCACTTCTTCATCCTTCCCACAACTCTTTCCCCACCTCCTCCTCCCCTTTCACATGGCGCCCCTCAAAGTTACCCCGAGACTGCTCCCGACTGGCATACGCTCGGCAGATACCGTAAGGGAAGGCTTTCTGCGTTTCCCTTATCTGCCAAGCATATGCCATGCCAGCCACGCACCATCACCATTGTCTTAACACCTTCCTGCTCTTCCTTCACTTGCTGTGCCTGCAGGTGCCAGAGGGGGGTTTGAGAGACAAGCCAGGCAAGGCACGGGACTACTACCACACCTGCTACGCCCTCAGTGGCCTCACCGCGGCCCAGCACTCCCATCCAGTGGCCTTCCCCCGCACCCATGCTCCCCTGCAAGCTGCGGCTAGTGTGGTGCAGGGACTGGGGGGTAGTGTGTTAGGGCCTGTTTCGAATCTGCTGGCAGTGGCAGAGCCTCGCTGTAATGTCAGGCGGGACAAATATGACGATGCCATTAGGTATTATGAAGAAAGCGAGGCTTTGGTGTAAAACGCAATGTGTGCTATATAAATAAACTGAAGAACTCACATGTGATTCTGTGTGCGCTATACTGTTACCGAAGCGAGTCTTTAGCGCGTCATGACGGGAGCACACCGACTTGTGCTGTGATTTCCGCCCCGAACGCAACACAAGTCATTTCGCCCACGCTGAAGCATCCAAGCCGGGAGCAACTTACTGAGCTCGGCGCGCAGCAGCCCCCGGAACAGCAACAGCGTGCATGCGCGGACTTCACTCAAGTGGGGGGTTCTTGATTGCAACGCTCACCCGCGCGATACAGTCACATCGGGCTCAGTCACACCACGCTCTGCACGCTTCTTTGCTCCAGCTTGCGCCAAAAGCTGCGGGGAGGGTGATTCCTGGGTGCATTGGGATCTCCGCGCGAATCCGAATTTTTGCGCCAAGTGATATCCGCGCGCGGTCTGACTTCCGCGCAAGCACCCCCGCCAATGGGCGACAAGCGCAAGGCGAAGGGGGAAGCAGAGGCGGAGAACAAGAAACCAAAAGCGGCGGTTGCGGGGGAAGACGGTTCCGCGGGCGCTGGGGCGGGAGGGGGAGGAGGAGACATGGGGGGATCCGCAGGGTTTAAGGTTTTGAAGGAAGGTGCAGCGGAGATTTTAGTACAGGGTAACGACGTGTTCTATAACAAGGCGCAGGTGGTTAATCGCGACCTGTCCGTCTGCGTGCTTCGCGCGTTCGTCGCGGTTCGGCGGGAGGAGGAGAATCAGCGCGCCGCGGCTGTGGCGGCGGGTGTGAAGGGGCGCGCGCTCCTGAAACACCCCAATGCGGACCTTGCGGCGAAATCTGCCGCGGCCGCTGCGGCGAAGCTTAGAGGCGGGGAGAAAGGGGGAGTCGCGGAAAAAGGTGAAGGCGGGGAGAAAGGGGAAGCGGGAAATGGGGAGGGGGAGCAGAAGGAGGTGAAGGAGGGAGAGGGAAGAGCAGCGGAAGGGGCCGCAGGAGGGGAAGGAGGGGAGAGGAAGGAGAAGAGCGGGGAGAAGGGCGTCGGCGCGGCTGCGACAGATGCGACGGCTGAAACGGGGGACGGGCAGCAGCAGCAGCAGCAGCAACATCAGGCGAAGGTGGCTGAAGTGAAGCTTTTGAGAATCCTAGAGGTCGGTGTTCGTGCCCTCTCCCTCGGTTACAACCCCGACCATGCATGAATGTATTATGAACCTATTTCCAACCCCACACTCTCCTCTTACCCTGCGCTCACCTCTCATCCCACACTCGCCTTCCCTCTCCCAGGGCCTGGCAGCATCCGGGCTACGTTCAATCCGGTATGCGAAGGAGATCCCGGGGGTGGGCGCGGTGGTGGCGCTGGACAACGACCCCGTGGCCGTGCAGGCCTGCCAACGCAACGTAGCACACAACTTCGGTGGTGCACCACCACCCGCCACCACCGCTACTGATGCTGCTCCACCACCACCACCCGCCACTGCTGGTGGTGCTGCTGTGGCTGAGGGTGGGGCAGGGGACAGCAAGGAGGAGGGGAAAGGAGCGGAGTGTGAGGGGGCGAGTGAGCAGGGGAAAGGTGAAGGGGAGGTGGCGGCGGTACCAGTGAGAGCGGAGCAAGGCGATGCGCGTGTGTACATGATACTGCACGAGAAGCAGTTTGATGCGGTGAGTGAGTGTGTGTGGGAATGCAATGCAGTAGCGCCAAACGTATGGACACAATATGTGTACATTGGCTGATAGCAACCTCTTCTGTCCAGCTTTCATGTATTCGAATTCCCAAGACCTTCTGCTGAATGCTGCCTTCCCGATTCACCCCTCTGACTGTGGGGTGGGTGCACCTCCACCCTTGCTTGCCTTCACTCCTCATAAATGGGGCCACGCAAGCATTGCCGGTGTTTCAGTCTTTTCGTACATTGACTCGATTTTGAGTTGACCAAGAAATCCGGACCTGCACGGCTTGCTGTCGGTCTTCCTAGGGGGGGCAGTGCAGGCGGAGGCAGAGACGTTGACTGAGTCAAAGTATGAGTCAGCCGTAAACTCTTCTCAAACATCCACCCTACTACCTTCATCTCCTCAGGTGGGTCTGGATCCGTACCGGTCACCGTCGGTCTTCCTGGACAGGGCAGTGCAAGCAGTGGCGGACGCTTGAGTCGACTCAAGTCCCGAGTCAGGTTTTGAGTCAAGTGAAAAACCCATCCCGCCCGCCCTCATGTCGTCAGGTGGATCTGGACCCGTACGGGACGCCGTCAGTCTTCCTGGACGGGGCAGTGCAGGCAGTGGCGGATGGGGGCATGCTGCTGGTGACGGCCACTGACATGGCCGTGCTGTGCGGGAACAACGCCGAGGTCTGCTACTCCAAGTGAGCTGAGAGCAGATGCGGGAGATTCAAGACATGGTAGGGCTCATGGTTCAGGGTTGAATCGCGTACAGTACAGCAGGGTGCTGCTGGTGACGGCCACTGACATGGCCGTGCTGTGTGGCAACAACGCCGAGGTCTGCTACTCCAAGTGAGCCCAAGGACTCTGAAAATTGGTGGGGTTCCGGGTTCAGGGCTTAAAGGTGCATTCACAGTTCAGGGTTGAATGCGTGCGGGCCATTCTGCTAGTGGCGGCCACTGACATGGTCGTGCGCTGTGGCAACAACGCCAAGGTCTGCTACTCCAAGTGAGTTGCAGGTCAGAAGAAGAAATAAATAAAAAAAAACTCTGAAAACATGAGGTTGACATACAGTCAGCAGCAGTCCAGGCAAGGCAACCCAGACACTTTTGTATCAGGTTACTTTTGAGTCGACTCAAGAGTAATAATGTGCGTCTTCTGTGTGACCTCTGTGTGACTGTATCAGGTACGGGGCCTACCCACACCGCGCCAAGTACTGCCACGAGATGGCCCTCCGCATACTGCTCGCCTCCATCGAGGTAACCCTCCCTTGAATCACTTCGCTTACCTGCTACAGTGTTCGCTGTAGCACCATAGGAACAGTCATAGGAACAGTCATAGGAACAGTGCTCATAGGAACAGTCACAGGAACAGTGCTCATAGGAACAGTGCTCATAGGAACAGTGCTCATAGGAACAGTGCTCATAGGAACAGTGCTCATAGGAACAGTGCTCATAGGAACAGTGCTCATAGGAACAGTGCTCATAGGAACAGTGCTCATAGGAACAGTGCTCATAGGAACAGTGCTCATAGGAACAGTGCTCATAGGAACAGTGCTCATAGGAACAGTGCTCATAGGAACAGTGCTCATAGGAACAGTGCTCATAGGAACAGTGCTCATAGGAACAGTGCTCATAGGAACAGTGCTCATAGGAACAGTGCTCATAGGAACAGTGCTCATAGGAACAGTGCTCATAGGAACAGTGCTCATAGGAACAGTGCTCATAGGAACAGTGCTCATAGGAACAGTGCTCATAGGAACAGTGCTCATAGGAACAGTGCTCATAGGAACAGTGCTCATAGGAACAGTGCTCATAGGAACAGTGCTCATAGGAACAGTGCTCATAGGAACAGTGCTCATAGGAACAGTGCTCATAGGAACAGTGCTCATAGGAACAGTGCTCATAGGAACAGTGCTCATAGGAACAGTGCTCATAGGAACAGTGCTCATAGGAACAGTGCTCATAGGAACAGTGCTCATAGGAACAGTGCTCATAGGAACAGTGCTCATAGGAACAGTGCTCATAGGAACAGTGCTCATAGGAACAGTGCTCATAGGAACAGTGCTCATAGGAACAGTGCTCATAGGAACAGTGCTCATAGGAACAGTGCTCATAGGAACAGTGCTCATAGGAACAGTGCTCATAGGAACAGTGCTCATAGGAACAGTGCTCATAGGAACAGTGCTCATAGGAACAGTGCTCATAGGAACAGTGCTCATAGGAACAGTGCTCATAGGAACAGTGCTCATAGGAACAGTGCTCATAGGAACAGTGCTCATAGGAACAGTGCTCATAGGAACAGTGCTCATAGGAACAGTGCTCATAGGAACAGTGCTCATAGGAACAGTGCTCATAGGAACAGTGCTCATAGGAACAGTGCTCATAGGAACAGTGCTCATAGGAACAGTGCTCATAGGAACAGTGCTCATAGGAACAGTGCTCATAGGAACAGTGCTCATAGGAACAGTGCTCATAGGAACAGTGCTCATAGGAACAGTGCTCATAGGAACAGTGCTCATAGGAACAGTGCTCATAGGAACAGTGCTCATAGGAACAGTGCTCATAGGAACAGTGCTCATAGGAACAGTGCTCATAGGAACAGTGCTCATAGGAACAGTGCTCATAGGAACAGTGCTCATAGGAACAGTGCTCATAGGAACAGTGCTCATAGGAACAGTGCTCATAGGAACAGTGCTCATAGGAAACAGTGCTCATAGGAACAGTGCTCATAGGAACAGTGCTCATAGGAACAGTGCTCATAGGAACAGTGCTCATAGGAACAGTGCTCATAGGAACAGTGCTCATAGGAACAGTGCTCATAGGAACAGTGCTCATAGGAACAGTGCTCATAGGAACAGTGCTCATAGGAACAGTGCTCATAGGAACAGTGCTCATAGGAACAGTGCTCATAGGAACAGTGCTCATAGGAACAGTGCTCATAGGAACAGTGCTCATAGGAACAGTGCTCATAGGAACAGTGCTCATAGGAACAGTGCTCATAGGAACAGTGCTCATAGGAACAGTGCTCATAGGAACAGTGCTCATAGGAACAGTGCTCATAGGAACAGTGCTCATAGGAACAGTGCTCATAGGAACAGTGCTCATAGGAACAGTGCTCATAGGAACAGTGCTCATAGGAACAGTGCTCATAGGAACAGTGCTCATAGGAACAGTGCTCATAGGAACAGTGCTCATAGGAACAGTGCTCATAGGAACAGTGCTCATAGGAACAGTGCTCATAGGAACAGTGCTCATAGGAACAGTGCTCATAGGAACAGTGCTCATAGGAACAGTGCTCATAGGAACAGTGCTCATAGGAACAGTGCTCATAGGAACAGTGCTCATAGGAACAGTGCTCATAGGAACAGTGCTCATAGGAACATGCTATAGGAACAGTGCTCATAGGAACAGTGCTCATAGGAACAGTGCTCATAGGAACAGTGCTCATAGGAACAGTGCTCATAGGAACAGTGCTCATAGGAACAGTGCTCATAGGAACAGTGCTCATAGGAACACCTCATCACTCACAGGGGCCGCTTCCATGCAGTTGCTCCTCATATCGTCGTCACGTTACATGCTGCCCATGCTGCTGCTGTTCCAGCTCTTTTGCCTCAACAGTCTCTCCTCCTGTCCTCAACAGATCCCCTCGCGCTCCACTTGTCACGGCACATGCCACACCATTCCCCCCCTGCCTTGTGGTGCTCACCTCACCAGAGTGCGGCGAACCGGTTCAAGCGCCACATAGTGCCCATGCTGTCTGTGTCAGTGGACTTCTACATCCGTGTCTTCGTGCGCGTCTTCACGTGAGTGTGCAAGCCAGATTCCGGGGTTGGGGTTTGAGTGAGCTGAGGGTGCATCAGGTGCTGTCCGTGTCAGTTGACTTCTACATCCGTGTCTTTGTGCGCGTCTTCACGTGGGTCTGCTCGCTAGGCTCAGGGGTTGGGGTTTGAATGAGCTCAGCGCTTGTGTGTGAATGGATGCTCTCACATGATCTTTTTTTGCGAGTATGTTCTCTGGTTGAGGCGTTTGATTGAGTAGAGAGAGTGGAGGTTTACAGCAGCACTGCTGCACTGCATAGTATGATCTGGTGCTTCACTGCATTTCGGACCATCTTGCTGTGATCACTCAACACAAGGTGAATCAGTCTTCCATGCACTCAACAGACCTGCCATTGAGAGCCTTATGGCTGTCTTGTTTCCTCTTCCCGCTGTGCCTCCTCTGCTGCCTCCGCGCTTCTGCTGGCCGCCATCAGGTCAGCGCAGGCAGTGAAGGCGACACCCAGCAAGCTGGCGTACGTCTTCCAGTGCTCTGGCTGCGACTCCTACCACCTGCAGCCCGTGGGACGGGTCGTTGAGGGGCGCGCCAAGGTGAGTGAGACCATTCAAAGAAGAACAAGATCTGAAGAACAAAGAATAGAGACAGTCGCTGCCACAGAGTGGCATGTACTTGCCATGCCACTGTCTCTGCCAGCAGCAGCAATCATGCTGACTGCCCGCCTACCAGCCCCGTCGCTCACTCCTCGTCTTTCTAACCAACCACATCCACTCCTCTTAACTCCTCTCCGTGCCTTCCTGATCCCACACGTTCAATAGCCCCTTTTCTCCCGATTCCGGCATCAGGGATTTCGAGGTACGAACACCACCACTGCATGCGGACCTTGTTAGAAATTGAGCTTTGTTAACCCCTCTTTTTTCTCCTCCCTCCTCTTTCCACCCGTCAACCCCCTCACTTGCCCCGTCCCTACAGAAACCAGACGCCCCTCCCCCTCCTCCTAGATACCTCCCCGGCTTGGGCCCAGTAATCCCCCCTGCGTGTGAGCACTGCGGGCGGCATCTGAGCATCGGAGGGCCCATGTGGTCGGCGCCCATCCACGACGCCAGCTGGGTTCGGCTGGTTCTGGGGGAGGTGCAAGCGGGGAAGGTCAGACTGGCTGGATTCGGCAAGGTGCACGGGCTGCTGACTGCCGTGTCTGAGGTAGGGTGGGGAGGAGAGGTGGAAGGGGAACGGGGAAAGGGGAAAGGGGGAAAAGAAAAGTGTGGAGGGGGGAAGGAGGAAGGAGGAAGGGGTTTGTGAGAAGGTGGAAGGGGGAATGAAGGAGAGGGCGATTATGACAATTGTAAGGACAGACTGGGGAGGGGATGACATGTCATGGCAAAACCAGGAACGATTGAGACAGTACTCTCGCCCCGATCTTTCGTCCCCCCTAAGCTCTAAAGCCTCCCAATCATCAAAAGCTGCACTGCATTCTGTTCCAGGTCCACCTGCCAGACGATACCAGCATCACACTAGAATGTACATTGCTCCTCCTTCCCCTTGTCCTTCCACCCACCCATCTGTCCACCCCAGGAGCTGCACGACATCCCGCTGTACCTCGACCTGCATGAGATCAGCGCCACGCTCAAGTGCACGCCGCCCAGCATGCTGCTGTTCCGCTCCGCACTGGTCAACGCAGGGCACCGTGTGTCGGGGGCGCACTCCAACCCGCTCGGCATCAAGACTGACGCCCCGCTTGGGCTCATCTGGGACGTCATGCGTTGCTGGGTGAGCGATGTATGGGCGATAGTGGGAGAGGTATGGATTGTGTGTTCAGACAGCATGGGATCACGTGATGATGCATGATGCGGTGATGTGGCATGTGAATACGCATGTGCAGGTTATACCTGTGTATTCATCCATCCGAACCCTACGTGTAACGTGCCACTCACCCCATGCGCATGTGGTAACCAGATCCGAGATCATCCAGTGAAGTCCCAAGGGGAGGGCAGCCCGGCAGACACAATTCTGGCCAAGCCGCCCACGACTGAGGTACGACGATTCCAAGCACTCTGTGAGTGGCATAGGCAATGGAATTTAATCTGTTAGCAGATCTGAACTATTCTTGCATGAGCAAGGTGCAGAACAAGGGAGTGTGTCGCTGCTGCTGCTTGCCGTACTTTAACGTTGTCCTGTGCCCAAGTCACATGCCCCTTCAACTTCTTCTCTTGCTGCTGCCCATCGCCCCCTCCTCTCCACCTCTCCCCAGGTCAACTTTGCAAAGGCGCCCAAGGCGTTGAGCAAGGCGCAGCAGAAGGGAGTGGCTCGATTCGTGCCCAACCCAGAGGCATACTGGGGCCCCAAGCCGCGTGCTGGGAGGAAGGACGCCACTGCCATGGCTGTGCTGGCACGGGAACAAGGCGCGGAGGGGAAGGAGCAGGCGGGGCAGGCGGATGAGATGGCTGAGTGATGTGGCGCTTATGCGGCACTTGTGCGTCACAAGCTGTCACCAGGAGTGATGGTTGGGGATCATGGCTTGTGATGAGGTGATGATGATTGGGTGCTGGTTCTCCTGATACTGGATTACTGCCCAGCAGTCTATTTTTCTTCAATTTCCTGATTTCAATGGCGTGCAACCCGTCCCAGACATTTACCGTATCTTCAATAAATGCAGCTTTCGTTCGTTTGTCAAGAGGACAGATGAATCGAGCAGAGGATTGAAGCCTCCTTCTTCTGTATACTTGAATTGAAGCTCCTGGACAAACAAGCAGTGTATGAGTGATATATAGATTCCGTAAACAGCATATTCCGAACCAAGTCCACCATGAGTCTACGCATTGGCAATGATCTCATGCACCAGATCGCTGATTGTGACGTCCTCTGACCGCGCAGCCAGCTTCATGGCCACCTGCTTCTGTGCATCCATGCCAAACGACAGCCGCACCAGCGCCGACACATCCCCCAGGAACGTCCCGGCGAGCAGGCACTGGTGCGAGCGGGCATTCGACGGCACGTTCTCGCTGCTCTCGCACGGCTGCATGCCGAGAATGGTGATGACCGCCTCCACTGCCTCCTGCAGGCTGTCGCGCACGCCCAGCCCGTACTCGTCCACGCGCTCGAGAGACGGGTCGATGGCCTCCCATGCTGCTCTGAAGTTGGGCACACTCAGCTTCCGCACGTAGTCCGCTGACGACACCTGGAGAAGCAGAGAGGGAGAGGAGAAACGGGGAGGAGGGAGAGGGAAGGTTAGCGACTTAATGAGCGGCAATACATAGACCAAATGAGCGCCTTAGTGTGTAAATGCTGTGATCCGAGACTCCAAATGATTAAATCCATAGTCCATCCAACCCGCATCAACATTCCGCAATTGCACACTTCCATTCACGGATACCACTCCTCAAACACCAATCAGAGTCTCAGTCTCACCTCAAGGTCTTCCAGCTGGTACTCGTCCTCGTACCCCTCCTCCTCGGCATCCCCCGTGTTGGGGTCGACCTCGACCACCTTGAACTTCATGATGTTGGTGATCTTGCCCAGCGTCAGTGCGCCCTCTGGCTTCGACAGCGCCACAAAGGTGTGCCCGGTCACGCCGTACGCCATGCTCTTGAGCGGAATGGTCGCCACCTCCTCGAATTCCTCTGCTTCTGCCAGGTCCATGAGCACTGTGACCTGCGGGGATGAGCAGCAGAGCCAAGAAGCAACACAACGGATTTACATGCATACCAAAAAACGTCTCGTATATTCCAAGAGGTAAAGGGCACAGGGCAAGGAATGTGGGGAAAGGCAAGAGGCACAGGGGAAGGCAAGCGGCACAGGGGAAGGCAAGCGGCACAGGGGAAGGCAAGCGGCACAGGGGAAGGCAAGCGGCACAGGGGAAAAGCAAGAGGCACAGGGGAAAAGCAAGAGGCAGCGGGCACACAGCACTCACATCCTGCAGCATCTGCTCGGCGATGGTGTTGGTGCAGTTGAACTGGAAGACCATGTGTGCGGGGAACACGTGCTTCACCACGTTCACACTGTACTCCGTCTCCGCCTCCGTCAGCTCCACTGGCGCTGATGACTGGGGTGCCAAAGGGAGGGGAGGTTGCGCGATGGGACCGGTGGAGGGGAGGGGTGTGGGGAGGGCGGGAGACATAGAAGAGGAAGAGGAGAAGAGTTGAGAATGCTTGACGCTTGCATTGGCATTCTGGGACAGCCAGAAAGCGACATCACGCACAGTAGCACATATATATATATATATGTGTATATATATATATATATGTAAAAAATAAAAACACACACACACACAGCCCGTATTGCAGCTTTCAAGTGCCTGCCATCCAGCCCTCAAGTCCATGCCACCCGTCCCCCCCACCCCCGCTCCTCCACCCTTGTTGCAGCCTGCCATCGCACCTTGAACAGCTTGCCGAAGGTGGCGAACTCGGGGATGGAGTTGAGGAGCTTCTCATACGCCTCTGACGCCGATGCACCACCTCCGGCTGCCTTGGCTGTCGCTGCCTCCTTGGCCGCCTTCTTGGCGCCCGCCTTGGCGGGAGGCAGCCCCTTCACCTCCTTGGGCACGCTGTCGATGTCAAATGGCGCCTCACTCGGCTCCTGATGCGGGAAGAGGAGGGAAGTGTTAAGCTAACGTCTTTCAGGAGTCGGTAAAAACGCTGATTACATGCACACGTGCCCACAAGGAGAACAGCGCCCAACCATGTAGACCTTCCCTCCCACCTCCCCAGCACGCACACTGAACTGAACGAGCTACTCCAGTGCGACACAGTGGAGAATGTTCCAGTGAGCCCCTCATCGACTCACGTAGTGCTTGAGGGCGGTCTCGAGGTTGACGAGCGGCACTTCCAGCGCCTCCAGCATGAAGTCGCTGGCGCCACTCGCTGCCACCGACTCCTGCCCGTCGCCCCCCAGCACGTTCAGATACAGCGTTGCCCGGTCCCGCACCTGACGAGGGTGGGAAACAGAATGGGCAACCTCGGAAGGATGAGATATACGAGGAAGCATCTAGTGTACGGTTGGCTGGCTGGATGAAGCAAAACAGACATGAGGCAATGTGAACAAAGGTGGAGCAAGAGCTTGGTGTTGTGGCGGAATGCAGTGGGAAACGAGGAGAAAAAGAGGCAGTACAGACTGAATATTCGGACTTAAGTGGAGGAAGTGCAAATGTGGGGTTCACCGCATTTGAGGTGCAGTGTGTGTTTCGGTGTGTATGTGGTGTCAATATGAAATACGTTGCAACTTGGCACCCCACCTCATCATCGTTGTCGAACAGACAGCGGCGCAGGAGAGTGACAATGCGAGGCTGCATGAAAAAGACGGGAAGAGGAAAATGGGGAAGGGGAAGAACAGGGAAGGGAAGGACACACACAGAGAACAGGGAAGGGAAGGACACACACGGAGAACAATATTTCAGACCTGGAGGAGAGGAAGCGCACACCACAACCGAGTCTCACTCAATCAACGCTGCCACCAGTCACTTGCAACCACCCCTCCCCCAGTCCGAACCCACACCCAGACATTCCACCTGTTCCTCAACCTTAACAATCGCCGCCAGTGCCACCAGACCCACCCGAAGGGCTTCCACTTGCGCGCCGAACTTGGCGAGCGTGCTGACGGCGCTGGCCCTGACAGTGGCGTTCTCGAGGATGACGCGGTTGTAGATGAAGCGGATGTACCGCGCTGGCTCTGGCGTCTTGGGACCCTCGTTGCCCAGCAGATGCAGAATCTGCCAGGCGTAGGTGATAGACAAGCCAAGATCCCATGGAAGAATTGTGCGGGGATTCAAAGAAGGAGGAAGTTGATAAGGAGGAAGATGCAGCAGGACAATAAGGTGGAGGGGGAGGGGAGGGGTTGGGAGGTGAGGAGTGGAGCGTGGCAGTCTGCAAGAGAATCTGCTATTGCCTGCCTCGTGACAGCTGTCTGCAGCTGATAGTGAACAAGAAAGGAGTCGAGTTTAAATAAGCAGCAAATGGAGATCAACTTACCTGCGAGGAGAGGTAGGTGAACTCGCAGTCCTCAATGAACTCGCAGAGGTGTGAGAGGCCAATCTCCTTGGCATCTGGGATCTCCCGGATGAGAATGAGGATGGAGTCCACGATCGCCTTCTTGTACTCGAACCCTCCCTCCTCCCGCAATATTCCGCTCAGGAAGTTCATGCTGCAAACAATCAATACAGCGAGAGAAACTTGTGGTTGAGTGCTTGGTCATGCATTACAATCCCACTGCATCCGTGTTCAGTCCACTCGCAATCAGAGTCTGAACAAAGAAATGCGAAGCTGCTGGCCAGAGAGTAGACTGAAGCGATGAGATGACGCTGAAGCGCAACCACGATACCACACTCACAGGACGCGGTATTTCTGGGGGTATTTGAGGCAGAGCGAGCGAATGGCCTCCACAACGACGATCTTGAACTCATCAGCAATATCCGACATGAAGTTGGTAATCTGCTTCATCAGCCGGTCCACACTCGCTTCATTCCCCGTCTTGAGCAGCGTCGTGATGGCCAGCGTCGCAATGCTGCGGTTCGGGTCCGAGATCAGCGTCTCCATGTCAATGTTGCAGTTGGTAACCGCCTGCGGGTGCGCCATGGCGACCTTGTTGAGCGTGCGGATGGCGGCGAAGCGCAGCACGGGCTTGGGCGAGGAGAGGAACATCTGTAGCACGGTGATGGCAGGGGTGAGCTCGCGGCCCGTGATGTCTGTGAGCTCGGTCATGGCGCGCGCTGCCTCCAGCATCACCATGTCCGCCCGCTGCCGCAGGCAGCTCTCCAGGAACTCGAAGAAGGGGCGCGCGTTGTTGTTGTTCGGACCCATCTCCTCGATCACCTGGAGTGTCATTCACGTACGCCAATACACACACCACGTGTATTGCCGAAGCAAAATTGCAAATGCAGCATTATGGTGGAGTGATGTTGGTCATCTGCAACAGCTCGCATACACGATCGATGCAATAGCTGACAACAAAATACAGCCTGCCTGCTAGGCATGGCACAAATCTGGCAATGTTGGAGGTTACCTGGGAGGTGTAGCGCACAAGCAGGCACTGTGCAAGCGGCGAACGCACAGCACCTCGAACGAGGCTGGTTACCAGCTTGCTAATGGCCAGACGGTCGCTCTGCCGAATCTGTTCGAAAGAAGATCCAGATTGCATTAGACAAGACAGCAAGAGAGCAGGGCATTGGATGATAGTGAGCCCAGCAGTCAGCAGATGTGGTAAGGCAGAGCAGTCAGCAGTACAGAGAGAGAGTGGGTGGATGGAGAGCTGGCAGAGGACGAGCAGCGTATACATTGGTAGAAGGAAAGGCTGACCTGGTGAAGGAGAGCGAGGGCATGGAACTGCACGAGCGGCGATTTGGAATGCACCGCCTCTTGAATCTCATTGCTCCATCTCCGCACAATGTCGGGATTCGTCTGTGCAACACCACAACCAAACGAAATTCGTAAACATCAACATCTTCTCGCATATCCCCTGCTCACATTCACTCGTGAGGCTCTTGACCAGCATGAGCAAAATCGTCAGCCGCACATAATGGGTTACCTTGAGAAGGTGGAAGCCGCTAACCAGAGCAGCGCTGGCGACGACAGGGTTCTTATCCACAACCGCCTGCTTCAAATAACGCTCAATCTGGCCCAGCAGGCCTCCGTCTGTGATGCGACAAAGCACACGGATGGCATTCGCTCTGTACAGATCCGTCTTGCTGTTCATGTCCTTCATCAGGGAGCTTGTCACAATGATGACCTGCACGCATGGAGAAAAATTTCTTGCTGAAGAAGATTGCGCTGGAACTCTGAATGAAAAAATAAATTGCTTTCTGTATCCAATTGATGTCAGGAAAAGAAGTGGCACGAATTCATATTAGATACCTCGTCGGATGATGGGGATATCTCTTTGATCATGAGGTACAGAAATCGCCGAAGGCCAATGTCGTTTGATTGGAAGAGCTTGGTGACTGAAAAGAAGACCTCCGTCGCTTCCGTCTGCAACTCGACGAGTGAAAGTTCAGCGATACATAATAGTAAGAAGTCCTCTATATTGAACATTCACATACTCAGAAACAGTTCTGGGCCACAAATGGCAGGAATGGCTCCCTCACCTTTGTGAAAGTTTCGCCTTGATTGAGCAAATACAGCAGCTTGGTGATAACCTGCAACAGGATAAGAAAGAGATTCAGATCCGTGCCGATAAATCGTGAAAAATGGGGGTCTAGATCGAGAAGCAAATTGCCAAACGCCTGGAAAACAGAAGTGAGGGATAGCATTCCAAATGAGGTGCATCATGGCGACCTGTGCACATCGTCGGGGATCCAGCTGCGGGTCATTGAATACACGAGCTTCTTGTAGAACGGAGCCCTTCTCGATCCCGAAAAACGGAGAGTACTCGACTGCATTCAGACAGACAGATTACGGTATGATAAGGGTTCTCTCTCCTAACTCCGAATGTTGTGGATTTCGAAAAAAAAATCTACTCACACAACCTCGCTGCGCAGGGGACTAAATGTATGGTAGCACTCACACTCTCCGTCAAAATCTTCGTCCTTCTTCATCCCTGGTGGCAACAACGCCATCTTGCTTGAACGATGAATATGCCGAGCTAACACAAGCAAAGGGATTCACAATCAAATAGGCGGACAGAATCTAAATTGAAGATGAAGCCGCACTTTTCGCGATCGATCAGCGAGCTAAGCCTTCAGCCAGAAAACCACCAGTTAGGGCAGACCAGCTTCGAAGTGTGAGTCTGTTCCAGTCCAGTTGCAACCGAAATTGGATCAGGGATCCGAGATGGTGGGGGAATGGGAAAGATTCCCCGCGAAACAGACTGCTGCAACCCTCACCAGAAGTTCTGACAAACGTTTACAATATCATCACGTTATACACCAGTATGTATGCAAAGCGAAATGCAAAACAAATTACATCCTATGAAAGTGGTCTCTCAACTTCAATGTTTTCGTACAAAGCTCCTAAATTTAAATCCTATGCCCATGACGACGGCCTGAATGGAGTCACATTCCAGTGTAATATAGTGAACTAGGGTGGGCAAACCACTTCTGACAGTAAGCCTTTCGGTCCTCAGTGGTCGGAGTCACGGCTGTAGAAGGCATCCAAGATCTTGGGTGATACACGACGAAGCATCTCACGGGGGAAGATACGCAGAAGGGTCCATGCAAGATCCAGAGACTGGTAGATGTCACGAGCATCATAAGCTCCCTGGGTGACAAATCTGTGCTCGAACTTGTCCAGGAACTCCAGGTAAAGCTGACAGTCAGATGCACAGATCAAAAGAAGACAACGTCAGTAGTGAGCAGCACGATACACTGGGTGATGCACAAGATAGGCACGTGACAAGGCATTTGTTCACATGTAGAACCAGGCATGACTACCACACACGTACCAGATCTTCAGATGACAAAGCTTCTTCTCCGACAACAGCCTTCATGGCTTGCACATCACGACCAATGGCATAGTTGGCATAGAGCTGTATTATACCAAACACACGGTTACAGCAAAATGAAACCGTTAGAAGGCCCAAGCTTGTAAAGCAGTGATAGCATGAGAGGTGCCACAGAAAATACAGACCTGATTGGAGACATCACCATGATCTTTACGGGTCATCCCCTCTCCAATAGCACTCTGGATGATGGGATTGAAGAGGCATGAACATGAGGCAGGACCAAGAAGACATGGACGTTTATATACAAGCCAAAGGACAAGGACTTGATGATGCATGAAAGAAGTCTATTGCATACCTTCATAAGACGAGACAGGGACGGCAACACATTGATCGGAGGATAAATCTGCGCACGAAGAAACAGGCGCGAGGGATGTTAAGAATGCACTGTGGAGAAGACAATGTCAATAGGAATGGCATCAGAACCGTCAAATCGCTATCGCTTACCTGTCTGTTGTGAAGCTGACGGTCAATGTAAATTTGCCCCTCCGTAATGTAACCAGTAAGATCGGGGATAGGGTGAGTGATATCTGCAACACACGCGCATAACAAAAAGCCCACATCCTTGTACACAATGAGCTGACAATCACGACCTATATGTTCCGTACATTTTAGTCTATTGTGCAAGTTATCGGCCATGAACATTCCCTGGCTACTGTCTAATTAGCACAATGTGAGCACATCCATGCGCATGTCCAAAATTTTACTCGTTCCCTTGACCCGTGCAATCAAATCAGCATTCACCATCATCAGTACATACCGTCATTAGGCATGGTCAGGATAGGAATCTGGGTGATGGAGCCCTTGCGACCCTCGATACGCCCAGCACGTTCATAAATGGTCGCAAGATCAGTGTACATGTAACCTGGGTAACCACGACGCCCAGGCACTTCTTCACGCGCAGCAGAAACCTGGCACACGATATTTGCAGTTTTGAGAAAAGGGACAAATGTAGGTTACCAGTGAGAGGAGAAAAACTATATGGGACTGGTGGTCATGAAGAGGGAAGGAAAAGGAGAAATGGAACAAAACGGGAGAAGCGAATGCCATAGCAGAGCATGGAGGGAAGAGGGAGTTAGAAAGCGCACCTCACGAAGGGCATCAGCGTATGAACTCATGTCCGTCAAGATAACAAGCACGTGCTTTCCACACTCGTAGGCAAGGTACTCAGCAGTAGTAAGCGCAATACGAGGGGTAATAATGCGCTCAATAGTAGGGTCGTTGGCCTGCAACGTGGGGACAAACATAGCAATGTTATATCCTACTTGAAAAAAAACGAAAACAAGAAAGTGCACACCAAGGAAAAACGGCAATACTCACCAGGTTGAGGAAAAGCGTCACACGCTCCATGGAACCATTCTCCTCGAAATCTCGCTTGAAGAACGCAGCCGTCTCCATGTTCACACCCATAGCGGCGAACACAATGGCGAAGTTATCCTCCTCATCGTCCTGGGACAAGGCGTGAAAAAGCGTATAAGGACTTGACAAACAAGACGTCATGAACAAAATATCCACAGAGTTAGTCAGAGCGGTACCTTCAGCAGATCATCCTTTTTCTCCAATGGCTTGACGAGACCTGCTTGCCGACAGATCTGTGCGGCAATTTCATTGTGCGGAAGTCCAGCGGCGGAGAAAAGCGGAATCTTTTGACCGCGAGCAATCGAGTTCATGACGTCGATGGTCGAAATACCCGTCTGAATCATTTCTTCGGGATATGTTCGCTCACTGGGATTGATGGAACTGCCTGCAGGTTACACGCAAAGGTTCAGATCAACTTCGTCTGTGACATGAGGCCAGATCAAGGAGCATTGAAGTATGATACTCACCAGCAATGTCGAGATATGCTTCTGCAAGAATGGGTGGCCCATCATCAATGGGCTTGCCGGATCCGTTGAATATGCGACCAAGCATGTCGATGGACACGGGCGTTTTCAACACCTGTTTCGACGAAAGTTGACATAACCACGATCAGAACCTCAGACACCTAAATCAGTATCCAGCCTTTCAAATGTCATTAGTTCAAATCACCTCGCCAGTGAACTCCACTGTCGTATGCTTGTTATCAATGCCAGCGGTCCCCTCGAAGACCTGCAGAAGTGACAAGTCTAACAATGTCAAACACGTATTTCTATAACGAAAATGCTGGTCTGGTAAATGAGGCGCCGAGACAACACCTGAACAACGGCTTTGTCGCCATCGATCTCAAGAACTTGACCTCGTCTAATCTCTCCATCCGCGAGCCTCAGGTTGACGATCTCCTGGAACTTGGGACCCTGCGGACAACGAGATCAAGCGAGGCGTCAAGATCCGACGATAAGCTAGAGGGTCCCGTTCATACGTCGCTGCGAAATGGATATGAAAACTAGACTGAAGCGTACCTTCACTTTTTCCAAAATGACCAAGGGACCAGCGACACCAGACACGGTTCGGTACTCTGTGAAGTTACGAGTAGAAGAACGGAAATGGACAGTTCATAAATAGTATGTTGCAGTTAATACTTGATCCCATAGACCAAGAGAAGAATCCGATCCTATTGCGACCCTAATCCCAAACAAAAATGCCTACCCAGGAATGTCTAGGAAACCGAAGTAAGACGTTAAAAAAAAATCACGACCTACCTAGGAATGGTTCGCACACATAGTCTCGGCTAAGCGCCTTTAGATGCTCTTGGACTTCAGCCATAGTCCCCATGGCTGCTATTCAGAATACGCGGACTTGGGGAAAAAATAGCAAGTGCAAGAGCAAGGAGCTGTGTGTGCAAAGGAACAGCACAGACAGAATGGGGATAGGGAATCTTCTATCGATCAACAGAAATGCCTTGGTTGTCTTGTCAGTCGTTGGCGCTACACTGCTGTCCTGGGAACCAGAGCAGCGTCGCGAAAAGGGCGAACTGCAGGTTACAAAATGCCGACGAGGCACAGGGGAAAATGCTCCCATTGAGAGTTGAACTCAAGACCTCCCGCTTACTAAACGGGTGCTCTAACCAACTGAGCTATGAGAGCACGATTCCAAATTTACATTTGAATATATTGGCAGTTGCACCTTATTGAATGTTTACAGTGGAGACACGTGTCTTCGTCCGACTAGAATCTACACAAGCAGCATGGAGGAAACATGCTGTTGCTTTTAATGGACACAGGTGCTTACAACGTGTTGCTGATCGTTAAGCAATCACATTTGTGCTGAACACTGTGCAATCGGGTGCCCTATCACGAGCCATTGAGGGTGGACTGAATGGTTGATCGCTCTCTCGCTGTAAGCTCCTGAATGGAACAGTCACAAGGGAGAAAAGAGTGAAGGGTGTGATTGAGAAAGGAAACAGGTATGGACAAAGCATCAAATGGGTAAGTTCGACGTGTGAACGTGAAGGCAAGGTGGAAAGCAAGCGAGGATTAGCGAATATCAGAATCCAACATCATCATCTGAGGGAAGGTTTTGGATGTACCCAATGCCTCTTGGGAAAGGCCCGGGCAAAGGAACAACTGCTCCCGAGAAACAGCTTGTCCTGGACATTCACCTGAGAAAGTGCCTGGAAGAGATTTGGATCTTGAGTTGCTAGCTGCCTGATGACGTCAGCAATCAGCACAGGCAGGTTGATCTGAGAGGTACAGGCGTAACGGACGGGGATTGGGGAGAGGGGGGGACAGAGTGGAGAGGGAGTGGTTGAGTGAACATGCAAGTGGCTGATTAAACGAGAGAAGAGTGAGTGAGTGAGTGAGTGAGCGAGTGAGTGCATATTTGATGGTTGTGAGTGAACTGGGAAGAGGGGGGAGTGGAGTGGAGCACGAGTAGCATCGTGGGTGAGTGAACACACCTGGTTGAGTGGATCGTCAAGAGCATCGTCGTCATCATCTCCTGCATCCTCACCAAACTGCCTCAGCGCACGCACGGACACAAGCAGTGGGCGAGGAATAAGCGCGGGGCATGGGCACACGGGTGGGGGGTGCGAGAAGAACTCGGGAAAAGCAGGTTGAGTTTCAAAGGTTTCAAAAGAAAAACCCTGCAACCCACTTACCCTCAACGCCTCCCACCCCAAAGCTCTTACCTGCCCGTCCCATCTCACCTCCTGGTCCAACAGGTGCGAGAAGAGCTCCGCTGAAGCAAACACCGGTGGCAGCCCCTCCAGCCCCTCCCTCCCCCCCTTGCCATTCTCCCCTCCCTCCTCACTTCCCTCGTCGTCCTCATCTATGTCTCGATCCTGCTGGCAGGAGATATGTCAAACAGGAGGCACACAGGAGGTGCAAAAACGGTGAGGAGAGAACAATGAAACGTTTCAGGAAGGAATGACAGCAATGACATGCCTCCCCCTACTCACTTCCCTCCTCGTCCTCCTCGTCTAATTCTCGATCCTACTAACAAAGAGACATCAAAGTGGTTCCATCAGGGAGGAACGGACAGCCTTAGTCATGAGAGTGGGAGACTTGGTTTGGATTCAATGGCAGCAGTTACGGGACATGGCTTCAAGGTGTGCAGGGCATTCTCACCTCGCTGCCCCTCTGGTGGTCACACCCCCTCTTACCCCTCGCAGCACCTCTTTCTGCTTGCCCTTTTAATCCAAATGATGAGGCTTTCAACAGAATGCCTCATGTTTGGGGCGCCGCAGAAGGGCATTTCACTTCATTCCCCCTTCGGTCAGTCCCCCACGCTTACCCCTCTCAACGCCTCTGCCTGCTCGCCCTCCTCCTTCGCCTCCAGCAGCACACCTGCCAGCAGTGACAGGCCCTAGAGGGGCGTGACGGAGAGGGAATGGACAGTGATGACAAGGAGTGAGAAGTGGTGACAGGCGGTGAGGAGGCGAAAAACGCGGTGACATGAGGACGTGCGCTGGTAATAGGACACTGTATCTTGCCCCTTTCATGCCATTTTATGAAAAGGACTGTATGAGAGGAAACAAGTGAGGAGGGCGAATGAGGAGGACATTCTCACCTTAGCTGGAAACGCCATTTCTGTCCACTTGTCCGCCACCACTCGCGCTCGCGAGCGAGTGACAACGCCCTTGGACGTCTGGAGGAGGGAAGGAAGAAATGAGGACAGGAGAGCGTGGTTCAACTTGAATGCACCTCAACATGAGACCGAGTCACAACACCCTTAGACGTCTGCAAATTAGGAAAAAAAAAGAGACGACTGTGCAAACAGGGGTTGTTGAGGCGTCAAACACAACTCACCGCCACCAGCCGGCCCTGCACGGGCACTTGCAGCAGGCGCGGGTCACGTGAGGCCAGCAGCAGCGCTAGGGCTGCTGACGCCACCTTGCTGTGATACACTCCATGTATGTCCCCTGAGGATGGTGTGGTGGGCGACAGGGGGATGGGGTGGTGGGCCAGACAGGTGGGCGAGAGCAGCGTTATATTCGCGAGTCAATCGGCAGTGCCAGCGCTGCTGACGCCAACTTGCTGTGGTACACTCCGTGTATGACCCCTGAGGATGGTGTGGTGGGCGACAGGGGGATGGGGTGGTGGTTTGCACAGGCGGGTGACGGAAGCAAGACGGCAGCAACGGGTTGGGTGACAAGGAAGGAATGCAGAAGTGGGCACGGTTGAAAGAAGAGACAGTGACTGGATGGGTGGAGGAGGCAAGGCAATGATAGGAAGAGGGAGTTACTGGGTGGGTAGAGGGGGCACAAACTGGAAAACATAGAGGTATTGACTGGGGAAAAGGGCCCATTCTGAGAGCAGGAAGTGGAGAGCCGAGGGGTGCCCGGGCAGGGCAGTGCAGAGAGAGTAGACCTTTGAGTCGACTCAAAAGGCAGAGAGGCTGTGAGTTGGGACAGAGGGGTACTGACTGTGGTACATGGCCCATTCGGAGAGCAGGAAGTGGAGAGCCGACGGGTGGCCTGGCAGGGGCATCGCCGAGAGCAGGTCTACCAGCGGGCGCACGTCCGGTGATGCCCAGTGCACCTGAGGTGGGGGTGGGAGAAGACGAGGAGTTAGACGGGCACACAATAAGCAATCAAGCAATGAATCTGGTGGCAAGAACAAGACAAGAAGACAGCACAGCAATGCATCCTTACCTACCACGCATGCAATACAGTCACATCCACCCACCAGGCGTGCGAAGACGAGCAGCAGCGAGACGGAGAGCGAGGGCATGCGCTTGGCTGCCATGCGGTGCACAATGGCCGCCACCAGCGCCTGCAGGTGCGGTGCCATGCGCGAGGGCACGCGCCGGATGAGCTGCACTAGCAGTGGCCCCACGAAGAGAGACGCTGACGGCTCCAGCTGTGGGCTTAGAAGCCTGTGATGGATGCGGGGAGAGGCGAGTGGTGGGGGAAGACTTTTGAGGCGCCTCAAAAGTCTGCACTAGCAGTGGCCCCACGAATAGCGACGCTGATGGCTCCAGCTGTGGGCTTAGAAGCCTGTGATGGATGCGGGGAGAGGGGAGTGGTGGGGGAAGAATGGCACAGGAAGGGGCTGAAGCAACTGCACCAGCAACTGACTCACAAAGAGAAATAGGGATGGCTCCAATTGCATGCTCAGTAGCTATATCTGCAGCTTCCCCCCCCACTCACTTGGCGGCAGCATCGAGCAGGGTCTTCATGGTGCCGTCAGGGTCAGCACTGCCAGCCACCAGCTCCTCTCCCCCCTTGCGCACAAACATGGCCAGTGCCTCCGCCCCGTTCTGCAGCTCCGTGTGGTCGTCAGACTGCAGCACCACCGCTGCTAGTGGGGCAAACAGGGCATCGAAGACTGGGCGGACGAGTGGTGGGGGGGTGCGCTGGTGGTGGCAGGTAGGGGAGGGGTGGGGGGGGGGGGGGGGAGGGAATGGGGTAGTGGTATTAGTATATGCAAACATGGCCAGCGCCTCAGCCCCGTTTTGCAGCTCCGTGTGGTCATCAGACTGCAGCACCACTGCTGCTAGCGGTGCAAACAGGGCGTCAAACACCGGCCGCACTAGAGGTTGGGGGGTGCGCTGGTTGGGGAAGGGAACAGGGGGGGAAAAGAAGGAGGGGGGGGTGCATCAAGAGGTGCTCAAGGGAAGGGGACAAGTGAAGAAAAGAACTAAGCATATTCGCAATAATGGCGATGAGTTCAGTCTTATGACTCTAGGAAGTTCAGTCAGGGCTGGAAGGACACTGATCAGGGACTGTGTTCAAACCATTCCTCCCAGCTGGCACGTCTTGTTTACTGCCTTGTGTTGGGGCATCAGCAGTCTTACCTTGAGAAGCATTGTCAGTAGCTCCATTCCTCCAGCCACCAAACCGTTGGGTTGCTCCTCTGGCTGCTCCCCACCCCTCCCCACCTCTCACCACCACCCACACCCACCCACGCATGCATACACCCACATGCACACAAGCAGCAGGTACCACACGCGTTCACGCATGCCCGTAAATGCACATACAAGGCGACCATGCATGCAGTCAACTCAGGTCCCCCACACTCACACACACACACAGACACAAGAGCCCAGGCAGGAAACTCCCATGAGAATCGATCAACGAGCAGCACAAACGGACAGCTGGATATAGAATCATTATGAGTGTCATACCAACTTTGTCCTTGCCGAAGACACGAAGAATAGCATAAAGGCTTTTTTTTTATTTATTTCTGCAAGCAGTGCTCTGCATGCTTCTCATCGCAACGAGCTGGCTGCTCCAGTGTTGAGATCTCTAGCACATCCGTTCGTGCGGCATTCAACTTCTGACTCAGAAAATGATACACGAGAGATGAGAAAGGCCGCAGACGACACTGACTTACAGAAGATAGAAATCATTTTCTGAGTCAACGATGTGTCAATGACGTGGGGGAGGACGCGAGGCGGTACCTTGGAGAAGATGGAGGAGAGCGGGGGGATGGCTTTGTGCAGGATGGAATCAATGCAGGCGGGGAGGTCGGCCATGGCTTCGAGGGCGTCACTGGTATCAGAGCTGATCACCGGGTCGTTCACGTGCTCCGCCCATATGCCCAGTAGCGCTGACGTCACCACCGGCTCCATCTGCGCCGTCACCTCCGCGTCTGATTGGCCGGGCCGGGACCGGTCGTGGGGGTATGGAGGTGTGAGATTGGGGTGATGTGTGAAGGGAGACGCATGGTATGGGTTGGTGTGGTAGCCGTGGCACAATGGCATGGCATGGGAGGCAGGCGGTGGACATGGCATGACACGGCACGACATGGCATGGCAGGGCAAGGGTCACCTGAGCGGATGACAGCAGTGAGCAACTCGAGAGCAAGATGAAGCGTGTCGTCCGATCCCTGGTGCCCTCAGGAGGGAAGGAGGGGGAGAGGGGGAGGGAGGAAGGGGGAGAGGGGGGAGGGGGAGGAGGGAGGGAGTAGGGGAGGGAGGGAGGGTGGAGGCAGTGGAGGAGGTGGTGGGTTAGCAGCTTGGGGTTGAAATGGGGGAGTGGTATGCGGCAGCTGGTGGTGGGGTGTGCGAGCGGGCATTGCTGGAGAGTAGTGAGAGGCGGGGGACTGGGAGGGTCATGGAAGGAACGATGTGCAGTGCACTGTGTGCAGGCAGGCAGAGTGTATGTGTATCATCCACGATCAGCATGTGTGCTTCACGTCATGGCAGTCATTAGAATGTACGATCCACGGCAGAGCACCATCCTTTCCTGACCTCGGGCAGCATGTGGCTGATGCCGGTGTAGATGGCGGGCAGCACAGGCCGGAGGTCCTCCGCTTGCATGTTGGGCGCCAGGCGTGACAGCGCTCGGCACGCCCCTATGCGGATCACCAGCGGCCTGCTTTCATCGGGGGGAGCGGATGGTGGGGGAGAGGGAGGAGGAGGCGTAGATGGGGAGAAGTGACGGGTTAGGAACATGGGATGAAAGACAGGTGTGACAGAGCTCTGCATGCATGCATGGGAGCACACAGCATCAACTGCCAGTCCCACCATTCTGGTCGTGCTGCTGTCACAGGCATGCTGTCATCCCATCTCCACGAAATGGCATGACACGGTGACATCCATCCCATCCCATCCCATCCCATCCCATCCCATCCCATCCCATCCCATCCCATCCCATCCCATCCCATCCCATCCCATCCCATCCCATCCCATCCCATCCCATCCCATCCCATCCCATCCCATCCCCCCATCCCATCCCAACCCAACCCATCCCATCCCCATCCCATCCCATCCCATCCCATCCCATCCCATCCCATCCCATCCCATCCCATCCCATCCCATCCCATCCCATCCCATCCCATCCCATCCCATCCCATCCCATCCCATTCCATCCCATCCCATCCCATCCCATCCCATCCCATCCCATCCGTCTTCATGCCGTACCATCCTACCCCACCATTACCATGCCATGCCATCCTCCTACTATCCCCTCATCCCATGGCACCTGTCCTGGCTGAGAATCCCTGCAGCCAGGTGACTTTTGAGTCGACTCAAAAGTCACCCCATTCCATTTCCCCCCTGTCCCCTCATCCCATGGCACCTGTCCTGGCTGAGAGCCTCTGCTGCCACGCGCAGCAGCTGCACCTTCTTCTCCGTCGGTGCCTGATGGGTCACACGCACAGGGGGGAGACGAGATTTGCTTTAAGTAGTATGCACAAGAGGAGGGTTATGAATGTGGGGTTGTAAGGTAAGGGGGATACAAGAGAAGCAAAGCAAAGAGCATGATGCTTAAGCAAAGCAAGTTATCACGCTGTATTCACTCCATGTCCCGTGCGTAGAGAGGACATGACAACCCATCATTTAGACACTAGGGCCACACAGCACGCGGCACGTCCCTCTTCCCACTCATTTCAAAGGCGAACCCTCCAGCCGACCAGAAGTAGCGGCATCAACCCCGCGTGCCTCGTGCCACAATCGTTACAAGCACATGCACTCACGTCAGAGGCGAACCTAGCAGCGGCCCAGAGGCAGCGACAGTAGAGGAAGGGAAAGTTGACTGCTCCGTCTGGTGGGAGAGGCGCCGAGAGGGAAGGGATGCAAGGCACAAGGGTTTGGAGAGCAAGGGTATGAGGAGGAAAAGAGGAAAGGAATGTTGTTGACTGCACTGCCCTGTCGGACTCACGCAGTTGGCTGAACGCTGGTTATGCAGGAGTGTATTAGAAAAAGCCCCAGAGTTGACTGCAAATTCGGTTTCACACGGCCAAGATATGAGTACCAGAGAATGCGTGGCTAATATAGTGACAGGCTGAGTGACTCACTTGGGCCCAGATCATGCAAGAGCAGAGCATCGAGGAAGGCCTTGGAGTCAAACACTGGCTTGCCCTCCATCTGATGCGCCCCATGCCAGGGGTGTGGTGCACATGCGGGTATGCGGGGATGTGGGCACGCGGGAGTGCAGGCATATGTGCACACATGCGAATTGAGACACACACTTGAACATACACACACACATGCATACATACATTCACGCATGCACCCAGGCACGCACGCATACACAGATATGCAGGCACGTACAAGCACAAGCAAAGTCGTATCCAATCAGTGTTGAGCAGGATGCAACAGCTCAATTTGCATTCTGAAAGGAGAGACACCCACGCATCACACTCTCTTAGCATCACAAACCATTACCTCGTACTGAAGAAATGTGTCGGCGACTGAACCTGCAGCAAAGATGGCTGCCTCTCGCAACTGCAGGGGCGGACGTGGGGGCAAGGCAATGGAAAAAAGTGAGGCCGAGGCAGCGGAAGAACGTGGGAGCGAGGAAATCAAAAGAGGTCGGAGGAACCAGCAAAAACTGATACACTTTCTCCTTCCACCAGTCAAGCGGGCGCCTCTCACCTTCCACCAGGCAGGAGCATGCTCCGTGGGGTTGACCACCGTGTCTCCAAGCCGTCTCTGGACCGCCGTGGATATACCCTGCACCGCCTCATCCTTGAACTCCGCCACCAGCTCCTCTAGCAGTGCAGCAGCTGAGAGGGGAGGGAAGGGTGGTGTGGGTTGGAGAGGGTGTAAGTATGACAGTGAAGGGTGTGCATATAGTGAATGTGACTACAATGTGAAGAGACTAAAACGGATGCGGCTCTCACCGGAGGTGCGGCAGCTGATGGCCTCGTCGTCCTCCTCTGAGACAAACTCGTTAGTGTCACGCTGCCACTCCTCCTCCTGTGGGGGGGAGCACAGGAAACCAGGGAGAAAGCAAGCAGAACAGTGACACCGACGAGGCAAGGTGTGAGGGAGAAAAGGTGGCCTTAAAGTGCATGTGGAGTGGATGATGAGGACAGAGTGGCGGGAAAGAAAAACGCAGGAGGAAGCGGAAAAAAAAAAAAGTTAATCAGGAAAGCTTAGGGTGTGAGGTAAGAAGGAACCATCACTAAAAAGCACAGTTCTGCCGCACAGTCACATCACATCACATAACAACACACCACACCACACCACACCACACCATGCCACCGCACACCACACCTAACCCCACCACAGCACGGCACCAACCTGAGCTGCGGTGATCTGCATGTAGGCAATGGCGAAGTAGACCAACGCCTCTGTTGTGCCTTGCAGGCCCTGCGGTGTCGTGTGATGTGTATACGGTCAAGAACTTAATTCGTAGGAATGGCTTCTGAGTGACTTGACTGAAAGCCACAGAATCAGAAATGTGTTTGGAGACGTCTCAAAAGACTGCTGAGTTACCTGATCAGAAGCAAAAGGTTAACGAGAAGCGCTACGATACGGTTATATAGCACGTGCCGAACGGCAAGGCATGGTCACCAGAAGTTAGGGAGGCAGCAATACTGAGAAGGGAGCTAAGGGAGGGAAGTTAAGAAAAAGCAGGCCAGGGAAGCGATACCAGGGAAGGCAATCAAGAAAAGGCAGGGACTCGCCTTTTGGAATCTGGAATTGGTTGCTAACGTCAGGAGGAACTCAAAGGCCTGCATAAAGAAAGAAAGAAAGAAAGAAGGAAGAGAAGCACACACACACACACACACACACACACACACACACGCACATGCACACACACGCACACACACACACACACACACGCACACGCACACACACGCACACACACACAAAAGGCGGAAGAGGTGATGGGAGGAGCTTTGAGGAGTTTCAAGTTCAAGGGCCAAACAGCGCAGCTCACCTGAATGGCAAGCGCTGATAGCTCGTCAGCTGCTGACTCATACCCTTCTCCCCCACCCCCTCCCCCCTCCGCGGCCACCCCTGCCCCAGCTCCAGCCTGTGAGGCGTCACTGCTGGCAGCCCCCCCTGCTGCCCCTGCATCCCCGGCTGCAGCAGCAGAGGGGGGCAGGAGAGGCAAGCCCGCCACCAGCAGTCGCTCGTACAGGGGGATGCCCGACACATAGCTCTGCCACAGCGCTGCTAGGATGCCTGCGAGCCGAGGGGGGGAAAAGGAAAAAGGATTTTGTAGTCGACTAAAAAATCAAGCCCACCACCAGCAGTTGGTAATACAGGGGGATGCCCAAAGAACACATAGCCCTGCCACAGTGCTGCCAGTATGCCTGCAAGAAGGAGAAGGGGTGACAGGCAGGAGGACGAGGAGGGATTGTGGTTTGGGGTTTGGGGTTTGTCTTTGAGATGTCGCAGAACTCGTAGAGGAGAATTCCCGACACGTAGCTTTGCCACAACGCTGTCAGGAAGATTGTGAGAACACAGGGGAATGGTGGGGGAGAGAGGGGGAGGGAGGCGGCAAGACGAGGCTGGCGAAGGGATGCAGTGCAGATGACAAACAAGTGAGCAGAGGATGAGCGCGAAAAGAGTGGAGTGGAGAGGAAGAAACAGAGGCAAGGGGGAAGGGGTGATGAAGTGGGAAGGGGACGGCGATGGGGAAATGATCAGAGAGAAGGAGGGGAAGGAGGAGAGAGGCTGAGAGGAATATCCACTGGACTCATTAATACCTGGCATTGTCGATTCCAGCAGAGCAGGAAAATGTTGGATGAGCTGAGTCAAGCAGCGGAGCACCTTATAAAGGGGATGGGGAGAACGCACGCATACGAGGACCCAAGATGGAGATCGGCAGAGCAAAGATTTTTGCATGTGAAGCCGCATATCAGACTTCAAAGTATTAATCCCGAACCCAGATTCGAAACCCCAAACCCTAGTGAAATCCTGAGCCACAAATCCCCGACCCAAAACCGGAGATACTCAAACAACGAACACCAATCTCCTGACACATGCAGGCAGGACTCTCAGGTCGACCAGAGAATCACTTGTGCTTCTCGTCTAAAAAAATAGGTTCTGCCGGCAACCGCTTACGCATTGAGCATGCTTTTCTCGTTTGACCAGTCAAAGCAGGACAAAATGTTACGACAATGTCACCTGAACCCAAGTTTCCCAATGCCTTCACCTCTTCCCCACTTCCCTCACCTCTTTCCGGATGCCCCAGTCTTGGGGGTCATGCTGTGAGAGCGGCGAGGAGAGAATGGCGGAGAACTGAGCCACCCATGCAGGCAAGGACTCGCTGATGATCGCCTTGCTCTCTTCCTGCGCTCCAAGAGAGTAAAAAGGGATGATGGAGAAAGGGTGGGAAAGGACGAGCAGAGGATGGCTCAGAACTGAGCCACCCAAGCGGGCAGGGACTCGCTGATGATCGCCTTGCTCTCCTCCTGCGCTCCAAGAGAGTAAAAGGGGATGATGGAGAAAGGGTGGGAAGGGACGAGCAGAGGATGGCTCAGAACTGAGCCACCCAAGCGGGCAGGGACTCGCTGATGATCGCCTTGCTCTCCTCCTGCGGACCAGGAAAGAGGGGGAGTGACGGAGAAAGGGGCAGGGGGGAATGGGAGAGGTGCTCTTTGGATCAGCTCAGAACAGGATGAGCCACCCACGCAGGCCGGGACTCGCTGATGATCGCCTAGCTCTCCTCCTGTGGACCAGGAAAGAGGGGGAGTGACGGAGAAAGGGGCAGGGGGGAATGGGAGAGGTGCTCTTTGGATCAGCTCAGAACAGGATGAGCCACCCACGCAGGCCGGGACTCGCTGATGATCGCCTAGCTCTCCTCCTGCGCTCCAAGGAGAGGGGAAGAAGTCTTTAGGTTCGGCTCAGAACGACCGGGTGGTGGAGGATAAGTGTTTAGGGCCGACTCAGAACGAAAAGATGGCCGCACTGCACCCCTCACAACCCCCCTTTCATCTGGTACAAAATACCCTCCCCCCTTCCCCTCTCAACTGGTACACGACACTCATGATGATGCCTAGAATGGCCACGGTGGCTCTCAGCACGCTCAGGTGACTAGAGAGTCAGTCAGCTCAAACTACAGCACAGCACTCCCCAACATGGTGCACAGAAGGGAGTAGTCACCCACCCTTCCTGCACCCCTCCACCCTCCTCCCTCACCTGGTACACGGCGCTCATGATGCCCAGAGTGGCCACGGTGGCTCTCAGCACGCTCAGAGCTCCTCTGCGCGCCGATGGACGGTATGCCTGGCGGATGCATGGGGGGGTTGGGGGGGTGACGCAGGGGGTTGGCGCAGGGGGTTGGCGCAGGGGGTTGGCGCAGAGACTTTGGCGCAGGGGGGATGCTGGCAATGTGGGAGTTTAGAGGGAGAGGGAAATTGGGAGAGGAGGAGGGAGGAGGGAATGGAGGGTGTTTATGGGGGATATGGACGGTACAGAGAGAACAGTGGGTTTTGTTTTGTAAGGGCTCGGTTAAGAGAGACAGCAGTGGAGGGTGTGGGGGAGAGATATGCGAAGGTGAGGGGCAGCAAACTACGGAGTACCTTTCAGATTCCCCGCAGCTCTCAGCTGACGTGATTTGCTTGCACTTCACAAGTGATCACCTCATGCGTGTGGGTTTCACCTGGTGTGGGTTTTACCAGGTGTGCATTGGGGGTTGAACCCACCTGGTTGGGGTTTAACCCACCTGGTTGGGGTTTGAGACGATGGCGAAGATGGGGGGGAAGAGCTTGGGCACAAGCGCAGGCAGCTGTGCATCATCAATCTCCTCTGCGAAGAGAGACAGACACTCCACTGCCGCTGCCACTGCTCATACGAGAGGGCGGAGGAAGGAAGGAACGGGAGGATGGTCACAACGATTGATTGCTATTACCCCTTGCAGCAGCCCCTCTTCCCCACCTACCCATACCTCCCCTCCCCTTTTTCCTGCTCTTTCCCCTTCCCCCCCAATCCCCGCCCCACCTCTGTCGGGGTGGGCAGTGTCAGCCAGGGCGGCCATGAGATGATCCATCAGCTCCGGCCACTCCTCCGGCCAATCACAGGATGCCACGTGTGCAATCGCGAGGCCCACGGCTGACTGGACCTTGGGCTCCTCGTCCACCAGCCCCTGGAGGAGGAGAGTCCGCACCGCTGCCTGCCAGCATGGCACAAAGTGGTGACGTGGCAATGGCATGATGGATATTGTTGGGGCAACCTCCTCTGCACCAGCTGCTGCAGCTGCACTGCTGTGCTGTTTCGTGCAAAAGGCGCAAGCTAAACATCCCTCTCCCCTCTCCCCCCACTCTCCCTCGCCTTTCTTCACCCTCCCCCCTCCCCTCTCCCTTCCTCCCCCATTCCCCCTCTCCCCTCTCTCCTCCCCCCTCCTTCCTCCCCCACTCCACAGTTCACCTTGTTCTCTGACGACACGGTGAATTCCTTTCCTCCCCCCTCTCCCCTCCCACCGTCCCCATCCCACCACCTCCCCTACCCCAGTTTACCTTGTCCTCCGGCGATACAGTGAATCTCTTTCCTCGCCCTTCGCCCTCCTCCTCCTCCTCCTCGTCACCCGCCTGCCAGTGCCTCTGCACCACCTGCCGCAGCAGCACTGCCGCTAGGTGCAGACCGGAGAGCACGAGAAGAATCGCCAGGAATATCGGAGATATAACAGCGACCAAAGTGATGATGTTAGGGAGACGGGGGAACATGGCACGGAGAGGGGGGAGACGAGAGAGGCGGGAAGGAGGAGAGCCAAGAAAGGGACGCACAGGAGACGGGAAACGAAAGGAAGTTGCAAGGACTAAGACGGGTTAAGGAAACCTTTTGAGAAGGGTGGATAACTAGGGGGGGAAGGCAATCGCACGGAAATGGCAGAAACCAATTCCAGACGGAAAAACAGTGCGACGACGGATTGCTAAATGGACAGTGGCGGAAAAGGAAACCTGAAGTGGATTCCCTCCCAGTGGAGTCTGAGGTGGGGCAAAGAGGCCAAGTGCGGGAGCTAGGTAGGTAGGGCTTGAAGTGAGGTCAGAAGTGCATTTCAGGCGGGTTGAAGTCAAGTGGGCGAGGAGGAGGATATTTGTCGTGTCCCCGCGTCGAGGCCGTTGTTGCGCGCCACACCCATCAGCGCAGGCGCATAGCCTGCACGGCGCCGCATGGGGTGTGACGGGAGACGCGTGAAGGGCAGAGAGGGGTAGGGATAGGCTGGCAATGAACAGCGAGCGAGCTGGAGCATGAAGAGAGGAGCTTGAGCACACGAGGGACGAGGGATAAGGGACGCGGGATGCGGGACGAGGCGAGGGAGGAGGGGCGTGGGATGAAGCATGAACAGAGAAGTGCTGCTCACATGAACGCGAGCCATCGGGGTACACGTGGTGGCCAGCAGTGGCTTGTGATTCGCGTTTTGACAAGCCATGTGGCGGTCAGAGCGATGAAGCTGGCGAAGCTGGTTGGAAACAAATGATCGTAGTGTAGCCATTCTGGCGGCTAGCAATGACAGGAAAGAGCTCTTACTGCCGCACAGCACGCTAACCTTCGCCTGGCGAAACACCTATTCGTCGTCTCGCCAAACCCCTATCATCGTCTCGTGAAACACCGATCATCGTCTCGCGACACACGGACCGACTTGCGACACACCTAGCATCGCCGCGCGACACACCTGTCATCGCTTCGGCCTGTCGCAGTGCCTCTTCCGCGACAACGCGGTTGGTGTTTCCCGGATCCAGGCACTCCCTCAGGCGACACAGCAGCCACTCCTGGTCCGCCGTCTGTGAGGAAACGGCCGCCATTGTTACTTCAACCTTCGGCTCGCTCCCAAATTGTCGTCACTGACTGGAACAAATTGAACCGCGTCTGCCGAAATGTTCCCTCGCTTCACCTAAGCCAGAATCTACGTAGTTCCGGACCTTCCGTTGACTGGAAACAGCGGGAATTTATATAAAGACCACGATGCCTGAGCAAATCGTTTACGCGCGCATAAAAGGTGTTGCTCGGGTGGCTAGAATGCCAACCAAGGCGTGGATTTCAAGAACGAGGATGCGGTTCAACTATCCAAGCCTGGAGCAGGATGGGTTTGACAATGAAGCAAAGTGAGACAACCAAGGCAGGGAGATGTGTTGACAGGGGCGACCAATGGAGAATACCGATGTCGGAGCGGAGGGCACAAGCCAGGACAGGAGCAGGATGATCATGGTTCCGCCTGCAGTGTAGCAAATCCATCCATCCCCACGGATTCGGTTTGTGGATGATATCTATGGATGGTGGATGGGTGCCAGACACAATCGCCGAGGAAGTCAGATGTGTACACTGAGTGTACTACACTCTAGCAACTAGCAAAATATTTGATTGTCTTCAACTAGCAACTACAAGGGCATGTCCCTCCCAACAGTACGTACTGATGTGGTCCAACTAGGATTTCTACAATATAGAGCGATCTACTGAAACGTTGGAATGGCTATGCATGGCATTTTTGCGAGAACGTACTTTTGACCCCCCCTGAATGTGTCTCTTGTTATGCGTTGGCACAGTTGTATTCAAACCCCCAATCCCAAACCTTTTTTTAACATGGGGGTAACTGTTTGGAAACTGGACAGAGGGAGCTGACTAACCTTGAAGGAACATAGGAGGGGACCAGCATGGGATGTGGGCTTTAAATTAAAACCGGGGTGCACATTCAGCTGAATGTGCATCAAAGGTTATCCCTTGACTGAGTGGGTTACGAGGTGTGCTTTCAACCCCTTCAAGTCGAAATTCGTTTCCCCCCTCCCCCGCAATTTCGTTTCCCCACGCCCCCGCAATTTCATTTCCCCCTCCCCGTCGAAATTCGTTTCCCCCCTCCCCCGCAATTTTGTTTCCCCCCTCCCCCGCAATTTCGTTTCCCGGAATCATTTTTTTGTCGCCCCTCGTGAGCCAATCACTGTTTTTCTCCAAACCCCCTTCCCAACATCTCAAGCCGAACCGCGTTGAATGTGCACCCTGGTTTTAAGTCTTTTACTGATGCATGCAGGGGATTATGATGCATTACAGAAGCCGTTCACTATGACATTCAAGATTGGTAGACATGCTTTCTAATGCACAAAGCAGCACATACAGGAAGCAACATTCATGTGACGTGGTGAAGTAGCTAAGCAACACAACGAAATAATATGATACTTTATTGATAAAACGAGGGGCCTTGTCCAAAGTGCAGTGGATATCATGTGATCCCAAACCCATCTTTCTACAAGGAATCTAAGCAACAACTGGAAAGGGGGCTAAGAGGCTGGTCTAAAATTTCTCTGGAAGCAGAGGAATGGCGCTGTTCTCCTTGTTACTTGCTGGATGAGTGGGGAGTACGGATTGTTCCACCAAGACAATCAGCTCAAATCTGTGTCACAGTACATGTGTCGTTGATGTACTGCAGCGCCAGGGGGTTAATGTTCACAATACACTCCATCAAATGGGTGTACACCGGCGACACGACCTTCCAGATCACGTCCACGTGTGCGCGCAGCGTGGCATTCAGCCTGAGAGGAACGTACTGCTCCGCCATGTCGGAGCGCAGCGCCATGCCGCCACCGTAGAGGGGGAAGGCCATGGTGGAGGCGGACCCGTTGAAACTGTTCCACTCCAGCTGGTTCTGCTTGAACTTGGGGAACTGCGGACGGGGAGAATCGCAAAACACGGGGCAGCCGAAACGGAAACCGATAAGGTGACGTGCCAGGCTTCTGATAATTAAGCAGAAAGTGTTACTTATGAAAGGGGTAAGGTGGCGGAGGTTCACGCGGAAACACAGGGGACTTGGTGGACGAAATGGAAGGGAAGGTACGATGCTAAGATCACTCACGCAGCCCTTCATCATGGTCTTGATGGAGCTGTAGCCGAGGCTCACTTCGCCGCCGTCGAACCACGAGACGTAGCGCGTGTTGGGGTTGCGGATGGAGAAGATGAGCGTGAGGTTGGCGTACAGCTGGTCCGTGGGCAGCCCGTTGCCGTCCAGCATGTCTTGAAATGTCTGGAACTCGTTCACCATCGCGTACTGCCGACGGGGGGGGGTGGGGAATGGCGCGCGAATGAGGGGCAGGGGAAAGGCGAGGAAAGGGCAGGGTGAGTGAGGCAGTGTAAGGGAACTGGGACGGGGACAAGGGGTAGGCGGCGGTACTTGAGCAAAGGCCAGACTCCGCGACTAAAGGGGAGAGTCGGAACGAAATGGAGCAAGGCGATTTCCTGGTTTCCGACGTACGTCCATGGTGTATGTGGGCGGTGTTGGCTGGTACACCACCCACGCGATAATGCATCCCGCGACGATGAGCGCCGCGACGACTAGCAGCGACCACAGGCAGAAGCACTGCTTAAAGCGCTTCTTGCGGAATTTCTCCCTCTGAATGTCCGGGTAAAACTCGTCCTCGTGATCCGAATCGTCGAACACCGCCTCTTCGCCGAACTTTCCTCCCATCTCCGCGTATCCCTCCGGGTGCTGCGGCGACGACGGCGCCGAGGATTCCGGCGACTCGTCCACGCGCGCACCGCGTATGGAATGCGCGGGAGTCTGCACAAAGTAGGTTTCCGTCGGTCGGTACAGATGGCTGCCGTGGATCGACCCGCTGGACATTAAGTACGGGTCGTATGCGCTCGGAGTCTCGACTGTGTAGCCTGGGTTCTCGTACTGTGGCGCGTAGTAAGGGGACTGAGAAGCGTTGCGGTGGCTGCGCAGGGGGGATGCGGTCGGGGAGCCTTGATCGCTGCCATCCCCGCCGTCTCCGCCGTTCTTGTAGGCCCACGAGGGAGTGCGGTTGAAAGATTTGTTCGACGGTCCCCCGTAGAGAGGGTTGCGCCCACTCGGTGGAATGTTGCTTCGGTCTGACATGCTGTCTACGCTTTGTGGTGGACAATGCTAGAGTGTGGTTGAATGGGGGCGGATTGGTCTATCGCTATCGAGGAGGTCAGTCGAGAAGTGCGAGAGAGACACCAGTCATGAGAATGACATTTGAGACGTGTGTGCAGTCGTAAATTTAGAGCTGAAATGTGGGAGAGAAATCGCAGCGAGACGGATTCCAAGTCAGGCGGGGTCGAACAGGACGCAGGATGCAGGGGGGCGGGGCGCTGATTTGGGGAACACGCGCGCTCGCATCGCGCAGTACGGGGTCGACGCGGGTTGTGCATCAATGGAAGGTACTGCCGATAATCGACGGTCAACATCGTCAGTTGAGGTTGTTGGTT